AAAATTTTTTTAGTTCCTTACTCTTTGGCATATTCACTTTTTAAAAATTGGACATTTAATGTGAGAAATGTAATACCAAAAAACCCAAGAAAAGGAAAACTAAATAAAAAACGCTTAGTAACTAAATATTTTTAAAATTAATTAATCCATGGAAAGCATTACGGTTATCCTAGCAATAATTATTTTTCTTTTACTAGTTTCTCTACTATACTGCTTATTTTTCCACTTACCAAATAAGCAAAAAGAGAAAGATAATGAATTATCTCAAAAAATTTCACAAGACTTAAAGAATAATGAAGAATTAGTAAAGTCCTTGCTAGAAAATTTTAAGGGGGAGTTAGAAAAACAAAAGGAAAAAAATAATGCTTTGACCGAGAAGATTACACTTTCTCTTGACAAAAATGAATCATTAATAAAATTACGTTTAGAGAATTTAAGCACAGAGATGAAAAATAATGTAGCGCAGCCCTTGGAGAAAATTAATAGTATTCTTCTACACCCTTTTCAACGCGGAAAATTGGGAAATTCACAATTAGACCAGCTATTATCCTTATATTTACCTAAGGATCACAAAGTTTATCAAATAGAATTCAGCCTCAAGAAAAAAAGAGCCAATGGTGATGGTCTAAGGGTAGACGCAATCGTTTTCGGTGTGGATGGTAAAAACAATATCGCTATTGATAGTAAATTTCCGCTCGAGAATTATCTCTTATCAGCAGATAGTAAATTAACTAAAGAGCAAAGGGAAGAGTTCGAAAAAAAATTCAAGAATGACTTAAAGAACCACATTAAGAAAGTTGCCGAGTACATTTCGGAATTAGACAGCACAAAACATGCTATTATGTTTGTTCCTTCAGAAGTTATTTTTGCAAAAATTAATGAGAATAATTTTTACGAAATTATTGAGTTAGCATTGGAAAAAAAAGTTACTATTTGTTCTCCTATACTTTTGGTTGTTATTATTGATCAAATACTTTGAGCAAATAAAACTTGGGAGCAATATAAAAATGTGGATAGAATAATTTTAGAATTGGATAAGTTTTGAGAAGACCTTGACCGATTTCAAGGAAGGTGAGAAAAGATAATCAAGTCAGCTAAGGATCATCAGGAGGCTATAAACAAATTAGACCTTACCACCAACAAACTAATCAAACATGGCGAAAAAATTAAAAAAGGAGAAAATAATTTACTAAAAGCAAAAACTGAAATGGCAGCAGTTTTGCAAGGAGAAAGCCGAGAAGAAGAATTATAAAATAAAGTCTGATGATTTAAGAATGACATGATCAGTTATTAGGAGAAAGAATAAAAAAAAGCAATAAATATTAAAAACATATGGTAAATGCCCAAGAATATATAAACGAAAATTATCCCTTAGAAAAACGAGCCAATATTACTGAATTAGATCTTAATAATAAAAATCTAGAGGGTTCTTTAGATCTAACTACTTTCATTAATCTTCGTAAATTGAATGTCTCCTTTAACAAGTTAAATGACATTGGATTATCTAATTCCGGTAACTTGGAAGAATTTGATTGCTCCTACAATCAGTTCAATCGTCCCTATTCTCATAACCAATTTACTAATAAATGAGCACTTTCTTTAAAAAAACTTAATAATTCTTATAACAGAATACCTAGTTTCGGATTTATTGGTTCGAATCTTACTCATTTAGACATTACTAGTAATAACTTAACTAAGTTGGATGTCCATGAGGCTAGCAATTTAATTGAATTGAAATGTTCAGGTAATCCTATTACTAACTTAAGTTTGCCTTCTAATCCCAGTCCTAATTTTGTTGATTGTTCTATTTTGCCATCAATAAATAATTCTACTTCTTTTAGTTTAATTGCTCCTATAGCGTTAGGGATCGTTGCGGTCGGAGTTGTCTCTGTTGGTGGAATAACTTACTATCTAATAATCCGAAAGAAAAGAGAAAAAATTAGAAAACAAATAAGTCAAGTAGCGGAAGAAAGCGGCCAAGAAACAAAGTCAGAAATAGCAGATTTAGTAGAATTATTAATAAAGGAAAAACTGGCAAAAAAAGGAGAAGTTTTGGAAAAAATAACTTTTCCTAAACCTTGATTTAATGAGGACTGCGCATTAGTCATCAGCAGGAAAGATGGAATAATTGGAAATAGCGAATATAATTTATGGGTAGCAGTTTATGAACCTTCTTTTAGAAAAGTCAAGCAAGATATTAATTTAATAAAATTTGTAAAAAAGTTGCCGGTGATTAAAGAAAAGTTGGGTGAAATAATAAAATACTTCGGAGAAGCTTTGAATGGTGATCATCCTGCTGTAGAACTATATAATAATATCTATACTACCGAACTGCCTTCCCTAAATCAAAACTATAAAAATGTATCAAAAAAAGAGATAGAAATACCTACTCAATTTGAGCCTGATGATTATATTAGACCTTATGACATTATTAAAAGGAAAATAAAAGGCACTCTCGCTTACCATTATGCTATTTACTTAGGTAATAAGCAAGTAGTTCATATTTCTGGCAAAGAAGTAATAGGTAAAACTGATGGCTTTCATGCTCGAAAAGATAGCTGAGAAACATTTTTGAATGGAGCAAAAGAAATAGAGATCCATCATCCCTTTATTCCTTTCAAAAGACCAGAACTGATTCAGGAACATATTGATATAGCAGAAAAAGTCAGATATGGCCAAGGTAAATACAAATTGTTTGGTAATAATTGCGAGCATTTTGCCACCATGTGTGTCTATGGTTTGGGTATGTCGCAACAAGCCAAGAGTGTAACAGGAAAGGCTGATTATTTACTAAAAGTAATAGAAGAAAACAATAAACTTTTTGAAGAGTTAGAAAAAAACCACCTAAATAGTGAATCTGAATCTAATCAATCAATAGAAATCTATAATCAAAGAGAAAATGTCTTCCATAATAATAGCACTTCCTTACTTTCGAATTTAGAAGAAACAAATGATGATATTGAATTGGAGAATTTATCACTTCAAGCACAAATTGAAGTTAATTCCAATCAAAATAATTAAAAATCCTTAACTTACTTCTTTCCTTATGAATGCTAAGAATATCTTGACAAACCATTTGCAAGTTTCGGAATAATTCGGTAATAAATACTTTACCATCTATTTCTGGACTAATGGCATTGGTAAACTTGATTTCTGGCTCATGTAAGCAATGAGTGATTAGGTCTTTAAAATCAAAAACGACTTGGAGCATTTAACTAGTAAGAGCAATAAATTTTGGCTGGCTCTAGGAAGATATGAGGAGTTATTTCTCCGTTGACTTGTTCGCGGGCTTGTTCTCAGGATTCGTCCTCGCTTCGGAAAAAGAAATCTATATTACCTTGCTTTTTAGAAGTCTGATAATCTCGGTAAGTTTTAGTCAGATAAGACTTAATTGCTTTATCTTCTATATCTGCCACTGACTCAAATAAACAATCCATCGTTCCATGTTCTTTAAAATGGTATTTCATTTGTCGATAAACTGATTCCAGCATAGGTCCGCCTTCTCAGGCTTGAAATTTTTCTTTGAAGAGGACTTTGCTTTCTTTTTTTAGGACTTCCCGGTAAGTGAGATAAATCATATCTTGCATTAGTCGGTAATCTTCAATGCCTTTTCCATAAAAATACTTCGCTACTGATAGAGGCTCAATATTTAGGTTTTTTAATTTTTGATTTGATAATGTGCGGGCTTTCATGATAATATAAATATTATATAAGTCATTTTAACCTAAATGCCTTAGCACTAGGCTTTAATTTGCTCTTTTTGTTCTTTTTCTAACTTCAATGCTTGCTGATATTGCTGAATTTCTAACTCTACTGTCTGAGTTTTTTTAGTCAATTTTTGGATTTTGTCTTGTAAGCGACTGAGATAGCAACTCCTTTTTTTAATGAGATAAGTAAATACGCCTTGCTTGGTGCGCAAATCTATTTGTGGTAAAGAAGAGCAGTTAGTGCAGCCTTGACAAGCATAGTTTTGGATTTTTATTTTTTCTAAATCGGGGTAGAGCATTTATTAATTGTTTTTTTTTATATTAATGCTGATAAGTGGTTAATGGTGGTATTTTTTTAAATAAGTTAAACTGGGATGAGACTTTTTTTGCATTTTGGCTAATTGCTCTAATAATCAAAATTCGTAAGTTTGGCGGATAAATCAATCGAGAACTGCCGTAATTAAACCATGAGTAGAATCATCATGTTTGCCCGCTTGCTTGGGGTCGTAATCAGCAATTAAACAATGAGCAATTTCATGGGCAATAGTGTTAGCCAGGTTAGGTAAACCATATTCGGGGTTGTTAGTGATATTAAATTGCTCCGTAATGAAAAGTGAGTTCAGATAAATTACTTTGGTGTAAATTTTCAAGTTCCCTACTTTATCATAAGTCAGATCAGTTTTGCCGTATCAATTATGGCTATAACAAAAACCGCCAAACTTAATAACGGTGCAACGATAAGGCGGATAATCAAAAAGATAACTTAATGTTTGTTGAGCTTCCTGATAAACACCGTTGATAAACTGCTCAAAAAAGCTATCCATTATTACTTAGATTTCTTTTGGCTCTTTTCCGTTTCAGCAAATTCTTCTCGCCCACAAATAATAGTTTGACTGTGTTGACTGGGATCTACCTTGTGTTTTTTGGCTTTTTTGATAAAAGTAGCGAAGGCTTTTTTGGTTGCTTCATCCAATTCCAACTTGGCTTCACCTTGGAGCAGAGATTTATATTGTTGCTTAGTTGTTTTTGATTTAGTTACCATAATATTATATGATAAGTTTTAATACTTTTGCTGATTTGTTAATTAGTCTTTGTAAAAGTAAGCAGTGCCGGAAGCTTTTAACCATTTTCCTGTAATCACTTTTCTATTTTGGCTTGCTCTTTTTGGTAATCTTTGATTTGTTTCACTAGCTGTTCTAACTGTTTGTGGGTGAATTTAACTTTGACACTAAGTTTATAGATTTGTAACTGGTAATGGCGAATTAGTTCTTTTTTACGGATAACTTCTTCTTTGGTAGGTTTAGTCATGAGGAGTTTTAAGAAAGCATTCTGAACTTAGAACTTTTGAGAAAAAATTACAAAAAATAATAGCAACTATCGCTAAACCTTAAAATATCATATATTACTCTTTGAATAGAACTGGTAAAGACTGGTTATTCGAAATAGCCAATTTCTACCAGTTAATCTACCAGTTCTTTTGAGAGAATAATATTAATAAAATTGGCTTTAATTAATAATCATCTTTTCTCAATTTTTTATTAAAAGAGTGGAGGTTATTATTTCCGTTAGTGATGCATTATTGAGCATTAAAAAGACTATTTTTCCAAAATAAGTAGTTACTAAAAGTGTTCTTTTTGCCTGGTAGTTATTTATTTTGGGGAAGTTTCACTGACTCTCTCCTAATACACGTGTATTCATGGGCATAACACAGAAAGCAAAATATTGGAAAGTTAAGAAGTAGTGATTCATAACTGACTGCATCATCAACAAATTATACCTAAAAAGTTGATGGTGGGACCAATGAGAAACAGGTCCAACAACTAACAAGAGGTTAACTCTTGAATAAGACTGGTATCAATTAGTCTCATTGAAGAATTAATTCATTTATATATTATATTTTAGGGTGTAGGGGATATACACCTTTTAATTTATCATGCCCCAAGAAGACCCCCTATCCTCTTTTAGGCGGGGGATGGATAACTCAGGTTAGGTCGCTACTTTCATAGTGTTATAAATTGATGTATGGGATAATTTAGTGTAAGTTTATGTTACTTTTTCAAAAACAAAGAAGTCCGTGGATGCTCTCCGGCATAGGGACGGATTTCTTTTTTAATTTTGGTAATTTCGGCTTGGTCGGCTAAGCACTCTAATTCGTAATCACGTTGTAAATCTAGTCAAAGTTCCGCCGAAGTGCCAAAATAAACACTTAATCTTAAAGCCGTGTCTATAGTAATTGGTCTTTTACCTTGACAGATTTCATTGATCCGCCGAAAAGAGATTTTGAGTTTTTGGGCTAATTGGCTCTGGCTAATACCACGTGGGATTAATAATTCCTCCTTTAGTATTTCGCCGGGATGGATGGGAGCCATTTTTTTCTTTTGGTTCATAAGTTTAAATAGGGTAGGTTGGTTTTTAAATTGATTTTTTTATAAATTGGCTTTTTGATAATGTTTTGTTAGATCAACTTCATAAGCGTGGTTGTCTTTGCCTCATTTAAAAATAATGCGGTATTGCTCATTAATTCGAATGCTACATCATCCTTTTCAATCACCTTTCATTTCTTCTAGATCATCGCGGAAGAAGTTTTTTAGTCCTTGCCAACTGTGTTCCCGATGGAGAACTTTTAATTTATTCAATAGCCTTTTGGCAATATGTTTTATTTTTGGTAAAGATAGACGCTGGAAAAAGAAGTCAGCTAACTTTTTTCTTCTAAAATTTTTTATCATTTATTTTTTGGTTTATATAACGTTAAGCGTCCTATAACGCTATATGTTATATTTTAATTGTTTGTGACTAATTTGATAACTCTTCCCATTCTTTTAATCTTCAACCCCGGGTTCTTTTTTCGTAAGTGAAGAGGTATTTTTTGTTGTGATAAGTTTGCTGTTCGAGAGTAGTTCAGATTTCTTTACTGACTAAGTTGGGGAAGGCATAGATTACTTCTTGGGTTTTTTTGGTGAAGAGGCTTTCGGAAGCAATTTCTAAGTAATAGAAGGGTTGGCCTTTATATTGGCTTTTGCTGGATACTTGGCCTAAGAAGCAGTAGTTGATGGTGCCAATTAGTTGGTGCAGTTTGCGGGGTTTAGTCATCTTCGGTGCTGTGATAACTGTCAACTAAAGAGCAAAGGCCTTCTTCTAGGATTATGGGTTGGCCTCAGTCATCCAGTTGTTGACCTTTTTGGTCTTCTAAAAGTTGCAAAGTTTCTTTTAAGTCTGCGACTAGACTATAAAGAGTATCAGCATCTCAAGTTTCCGGGTCATCCGAATTGATGACTTGGGCTTCGTTAATTTGGTTGAGGAGTTGGTGTAAAGTTTCTAATTTTTTGCTGATTTGTTTGTGCAGTTTTTGGGACATAGTTTGTAAAATTCTTTATTCTTTAAGAAGAAAATAATTAAAAATTATTTCTTTCTTGCTTTTGATAGTCAATTAGGTGTTGTTGAGCTTGCGGACAGACATATTTTTGGGTGGGGTCTTCGCGGACTCGCTGGCAACCTCAACAGCCATTTTTATAAATTAGTTGGGGCATTTATACTATTTCAATTTTTTGGACTTTATAAAAAGTGCCTTGATTATTTTGGTTGGGAAGTTCTTGGTAAGTGATTAAAACTTGGCGATTAATGAAGTTGTGGGGAGCATTAGTTAAAGTGGTTAAAGTTTCGGCTGGCAGACTGAAACTAAAGGCATAAAAATAACGAGTCGGCATTCCGGCTAAACTGAGGCGGAAGTAAGGATTGTTGTTTTTGTCGAATTTCGGTTCGATATCTAAGATAGTGGCTTTGATTTGTAATTCTTGGGGCATGTTAGAGGTCAATATTTATTTGCGGTTTCGGTCGTTGGCAGTGCTGGCAAGCCTTACCGGTAATGGTGCGGTCTTTTCAGTGCCAAAGGATGATTTGGTGCAGGGGTTTTAACTTTTTACAGTTAGGACATTTGATTTTGAGAAGGTAAAGGGATGAAGAGGCCAGTAATAAGCCCAGGATTATTCCGAGCAGGAGGATGATTAGTAAAGTGAACATAGATTTTAATTTATCATTTAATTCTTCTGTCATATTAATTCTTAATTTCTAAAATCCTCTTTCTTTAAATCACTCACTTCATTTTTGACTAATAAAACTCTTTTATCATGCTGACTTGCTATGGCGGGGTAGTAAGGGGCAATAACAGTAAAGTTCATCTTCTTACAATTATCACAACTATAATCTGTTTCCCCGCGGCATTTACCCATGTATTTTTTCATACAATCAGAGCAAGGTTTGACTAGAAAATGATTATTGCTTTCAATTATACTTTTACAGATGTTGGGATTATCATCAATAAAAACATCAAAATCCTTGGCAAAATATTTTATTCAATCACATTTTGTATTTGCTCCTGGTTGGATTTTCATTTCCTCTGAAAGTAATCGTAATTGAATATTTGCTGGCAAAGGTGCACCAACAGAAGCAAGTTTAGCAAGTTTAAAAAAAGTTTCTTTAAATACTTCATATTTTCTCTCATCACTAGTAGATAAGAATATTAACTTTTCCACTTTATCCTCTTTGATTAATTTCAATAAATCCTCAGCTAAGGTTAAAAATGGTGCTTGTAAATAAAAATCGGGGGAACTTGCTACTTTTTTATATTCTCTTTCTAATTCCTCATAGTTACCTCTAATTTTTAATTCAAAGCCATAAGGAGAATAATCAAACACAATTTCATTTTCTAATTTGCCTCCTCAAAATTCTTTAAAAAATTTAGAAAAGTTTATACAGTTGAAATTAAAACATTCTACTCCATTTTTTTTATGGAGCATCCTTTCTGAGGCTCTTGCTAAACAAAAAGGTTCAGTGGACTGGATTACCTCATCTCAGTCGCAAATTATTTTTAATTTCTTATTCGTGTTTTTATAGTAGTCGTAGAGACTGGTTATTATTTGTTTATTTTCCATAGATTTCTTTTCTTTTTTGCTGGTTCCTTTCCGTTCATGTTTGAATTTGGATAATTCAGCAAGCTGCTTTATTTAACTGTTCGTTTTGCTCTTGGAGCGAAAAGTTGTTTTTATTTTCTTTTTCTCGGTTCATTATTTTTCTAGTCATTTTTTAGTATTTCAATTAGTTTCGCAGGGCGGACAAAATCCCTCAATGGTTAACTGCTCTGTGCTGTCTTTTTTACATTCTAAACAATACCTAATTCCCGCTAATTCTAATAAACTGCGGCGGGTAATTATCTAGTTGGCTAATCTTTGTTTAACTTCTTTTAATAAATCACTGTCGGAAATATGTTTTAATTCTTTATTTAATGTCATAGTCATATAATTTTCAAGTCATATTTTTAAATATTATTTGGGTTTTCTAGTAATTTCCTGTCCGTGTCTCATTGGGCTAACTGTTGTAAATAACTTTCTTTAGCTTTTATTTGTGCTTGGTAATAAGTGTTCTTGGTATCTTCAGTTTGGCTGATATTTTGAGTCCGACCTAATAAATAACTGTCACTAAATCGTTCTTGGCCTAATTTATTCGCGCAAATCTTTAATATTTGGCTTTGTCTTATTTTATCCTTATATTGCTTAATTTCTTGGTGGGTTTTTGTGATTTCTGTGGCAATTCAGGCTTGACAATCACAATCGGAATAATCAACATTTGCCGCATCTTGGTTTTTATATAATGGACTAGTGTAGCATTTGCAGCATAATGCCTTAGATACCATTAGGTTGGTTGTTTCTTCTAAAAAGCGGTTAATTTTGTGGATACGATGCTTAATTAATGGTCGTTGACAATCATAACAAAAATAATTTTCTTGGTTCCGATAGCACCAAATTTTATCTTTATTAGTTTGGTAATATGTTCGTGTTAATTCGGGTTTTGTTGCCATGGTTTTATTCTTCCATACAGTCCGCTCCGCCTAATTTAAAAAATAGGTCAGCGTTTTTGTTATCTTCCTTGTTGCTGCACTCCCGACAAATTCCCTTTTTGCTATATAAAATGTAGGCTTGTCGTTTCCAATATTCCGTTTTTTTCTTTTCTTCTGCTACTGCTTCATTTTCTTGGCTGGTTTTACTTTCATTATTATTCATTAGTCTTAAAATTTCCTGCTTTTGGTTTTGGTAGCGGATAAGGGACTTGAACCCTTAAAATTCCTGCTAATCAGTGCGAAATTCAAAACCAATGGGGAGAATTACGGCTATTTTAGTCATTATTTTTATTCTTTCTAAAAACTCAACAAATTCAGATAGTAAGAACTAATAATAGTATTATTATAATTCCCCACGCTAAAAACGCGTCTCTTTTGTTTTCCTCATTAATTTTTTTAGAACAAGTTTCACAAAAATAACCACCATAGTATTTGCTTTCGTATTTAATTAAATCCTCTTTGGGATGCTTCTTTTCACATTTAGTGCATTTTCTTTTTTTAGTCATTATTCATTTTCTTTAGCATTTTCCTAAAATTTCTGCCCTTTTGGCGAGAGAGCAGAGGAACTCGTAATAAAAATAATACCCCATTATTCGCAGAGTTGGGGGCTCTATACTTAAATATGGTTAATCTTTAATGACAATAAATACTTAGTCAACCAGAAGTGGGAGTTTGTTCCGTTGCTGAACGCACTCCCGTGTTAGTGGCATAATAAAGATGGTTTATACTTCCGAGCTGATAAACATTACTAGGCCCAAAGTCAAAATTGGGTTGCTAATGCTGGCGATTAGATAAATAACCGCACTCCAAACCATCCGCTAAAACATTATGCTCGGAAGGTGAGTTTTCTTTATTTTATTTACAAGGCGCCTAGCAATTCTAAGGGTGGTTGCGAAATACCCCAGTAGCGAATATTTAATCTGCCTTGGTTGGTCAGTCTGAGACTCTCACCAACTAGACTGACCCATTTACTCCCACTTTAATCCGATTGTGAACTATAAAACTAAAATTCCTGACTTTTTAGGCGGGCGGGGAGTGATTGGAACCCAAAAGGATTATTCGCTCAAATTTCTCTTACAAGGGCCACAATAACCACCACGGAGAGTGAATACTTGTCTTTTACAGGCTTTTACTTTAATTCTCTTTTTTTATTCATCATTTTCTTCTTGGCATTCTAGGCAGTCCTTGCGACAACCGTGCAAGACTTGCATGATGGTACGGATATTTTGTTGTTCTAAATTTGGTTTCTTAGTCATAACATTCTAATGTTTCTCCTTGCTCGGTGGGATGCTTGGTTCCCAACAAAAGATTGCGGATTTCTTTAATGATGGCTTTTTTATTGGCAAGTGGATAATTACTCTCTTCCAGTTCGTACAGGTTGGCTAAGGAACAAGACCAACAGAACTTTTTTTCTTCCCAGGTTGGGGTGCTGCCAATTCAGACTGGTTTTTCACTAATTACTGTTATTTCCTTATTAAGCGAGCATTTAAAACAAGTACCCCGCTGATTAGGCGGGGCGAGGGTCAGGGTAAGGAGCTGCTGATTAATGGTTAAAGTTCAAGTTTTATTCATCATCTTTTTCAGCATCCTCAACAACATTTTCTGTTGGTTCTGCTTCACTGGGACCATTTCATCATTTAGCAATATTTTTTCTAAATACCGCCGCTAAGAGGCCGCCGACTACTAATAGTGGCACCCAAACTGGTCATCAGTAATTGTTGTTTAATCAGGCAATAGCACCTTTTTCCTCAGTTGGAGTTGGGCTGGGATTATCCTCTTGCTCCTCACTTGGTTTAGTTAAAGCATTTTCGTTAATCTTGCCAATGGCACACTCATAAAGGTATTCGCTGAACTTATCTTTTTCATCATCTTCCAATTTATCCTTACTGTCAATTTTCTGTTGGCCGCCTTTTTCTGACCAAGCAAACTTCAAATATCTTTCGTGCTTCTTGTTATCCGCCAACTTATTAAACTCTCACTGGTGGATAAGTAATATCACAGCCTGAGGGTCTTTTTCTTGAAATAAGTCGGTCAGAGTTTTTAATTTGGCATCTTGGCCGGTCAGGAAAGTTAGAAAGTCCGGGTTAATTTCTTTAAATTTATCCTGGTTATCAGCATCTTTTTCAAATACACAGACTTTTTTTAGTAAAGTTTCCAGGCTGGCCGTGTTGTTAAAGGCAGCTTGGCCGTCTTTTTTTGCTTTTCATTGGTCTATTTTGGTTTGGTCAAAGACTGCTTCTAATCCCGCTTCGTATTGTTTTACTATATTTTGTCAGTCTTGGATATTTTCTTCCGGAGTTTGGTTGTCGATGGCTGCTTGGAGTTTGGTTTTAATTTCCTGTTGTTTGGGCGTTAGTTTGACTAACTTTTCTAATTCCACTAAATTATCATGTCATCAGTTTAAATTAAGAATATCATAATGTTTTTTGCCTTCCGCATCAGGCTGATTGGCTTTAATAATCGCTATTCTTTGTTCGGTGGTTATATTCCTGTTTTCTTCTTCACTGCCACCAACTTTTCAACCGATACTGTCTCAACTGGATTGGTGTCATTTGCTTATACAAGCCATAATTGTCTCATAACTTTCTTGTAAAGCGGTATTTTCATTAGGAACATCACTAGCTATTTCTGTGTCATTATTTTTTAAGAACCTAATATCGCTTAATAATCTGTGAACTTCATAGAGTTGCATTAAGGTTAGGCGGTTATCGTCAGTATCGCTGTTTTTTTTGAAACCTTTATATTCAGTAGGGCTAATTTTTCATTTATCTTTTAATTCGGCTCTTAGTTCATTTATTCGAGCAGTAATCTTAGTGTCGATTTCGGTTTCTTTAGCTTGGAGTGCTTTTTTAGTAGCCGCAACTTCTTCTTCGGCTTGTCTTAATTCATCACCACCAGTACCGACTCTTTTTAGTTCACTTTTCATCAATGCTTTTAACTTATATAGTAAAGCTTGTTGTTTGTGAAAGTATTTCGGGAAGTCTAATAAAGTATAGTTGTGACCGCCATTAGCAAAACTACCAAAATTGTTTTCTTCAATTACTTGGCGATAATCATTATAAAAGGTAGTGTAAATATCAGTGTCAAAACTGCTAATTATTTTTTCTTTGCGGCCTTCATTGAGATTGTGATAGGTTTGGAAGGCATGACTATTCAATTTACTTCAACCACGTAGCCCTTCTTCAATTTCAAATTTAACCGCTTGGTCTTTTCACTCTTTTTTTGGGATAGAGCCATAAAAACCAGTTTTCGTGTCACTGTTAGCAAAATTTTTATCTAGGTAGTTTTCATGACCTCAACTGTGTAATTTACCTGCCGTATAAGGTTCATCTTGAGCCGGGATAAAGACTAATTCGGTTTGCTCGGGAATTTCCTTCAAAACTTTTGCTTTGACATCATCATGTTCTATTCAAGCGGAGTTTTTTTGCAAAAAGTCAATAAAATCAAAGTAAGCTTCAATACTGGTTTTATTAAAAAGAGTATCGATCATTCCCGTTTCATCTTCTTTGACAAAACCATGACCAAAACTGTATTCCTTGCGACCTGTTTCGGCATCAGTAAATTCTACCAAGTTTTGGGCGTGGTCTTGCAGGATTTTTAATTGACCTTGGATTGCCCCGGCATTAGCACTAGTCGCGGTAAAAGTCAAAGCAGGCAGGCCAGTGGGCGGAGTATTAGTTAGGTTGGCAAATTCATCTTTGTCAATCTTTTTTATTTCCGCTAAGGTTCGTGTAATCAGCTTAATTAGTTCTTGTTCAGTTATTTTGATTGACTTTTGCTTATGACCACCACCAGTATAAAGATTTACTTCATAAAGGTTAGTTTTATAATCTTGCGGAGTTGCTCCGCTGGGAGAAGTGGGAGTAAACTTTTGAGCATTATAATCACTAACTAGTTTAATTCAACCCTCAGTTCGGTAAGCATCAGCACCTGAATTTCGCAAAAAATCTTGCTGCTGTTTAGTATAATTTTTACCAGTTTTGAGATTAGTTTTTCATTCGTTAATACTTGCTTCTAATTGATCATGTTGCAGGGCTAAATTAGCGTAAGTTTCGGTATAGCCCTCTTTACTCGCTAAGTCTTTTTTTTTGGTTACTAAATCACTTGCTAGGGCTTTTCTTTGGGCGATTAAAAGTTCAACATCATTAACTTTTATTTTTTCTCCGGTCTTAGCCGTTACTTCTGCCCCATCTAAAGCAAAAGATTTTTGACCTAGTTTTTTGTCACCTTTTTGAAAAGTATGTTCGATTTCTTGACCCACTAAGCCAGCTACCTCTCGTTCTCAACTACCACCATGTTGGTCGGCATCGGCACTTCACTTATTATATTTTTTTTTATTTAATATATTTACCATAAAATTTAATTCTTCTATTTTGTTATGCATTTAATTCGGCAACCAACAGCACTAAAATGAACTAACCGCTTATTGATTGCCTATTCAGAAATTAATCATGATTATTTTTGACATAAAGGGAAACACAACCTAAAATTAGTATATAGTTTGCTTAAAAAACTTTTTATATTTTTGTTTTTGAAATAAGACTATACTAAACCCTCTTTTTAGAGCCTAATTTGGATATATGGAGAGGATCATAACAGGGTGGGTTAGATTGTCCCAACCCTCATGTCTTAATTCCTAAGAATTAAAATTTTATCAACTTTTTCCAGATTTAAAAAAAACCGAAAAAAATTAGCAAAACTAATTCTTGGCAAAAAGCAGAGAACTCTAATTCCTTACTTGGTGGGGAATTAGAATCCTCATTTAGAACCCTTGACCGGTACTAATAAATCCATTGTGATAAACCAATTCTTTAAGTTCGCGGCTCATACCTTTACTCGTTTTCAGAGTTTTTATAGTTCTTATCCTCTAGCGATTTATCATGCGCTATTCTACACTTTACATTTTTGCTCGGTTGCAGGACTTTTTTATTTTCAGATTAATTTCTGAGGATAAAATTCAAATTAGTAGTTTTTTATTTTTGGGTTTAAGAGTAAAATTAATAAATATATACATGTTGGGTTAACATTCCCCATCAAGTGTAAAGTTATTGAAAAAAATGGATAAGCCAGAAAAAATCGAAAAAGTAAAAAAAAAATTATCAAAAGAGGAATTATTAGCTAAATATCGGGCAACCTTAATGGTTCTGCAAATGAAAAGTAAGATGGGGCAATTAGTTCAAACTCATCAGATAAAAGAGTTAAAAAAAGAAATTGCTCGGTTGCTGACTGCCGATAAGATAATAAAAAATAAATAATATATGAATCAAGTATTCACGGGAACAGTAATTAGTTTAAAAAATGCCAAAACTGCGACAGTCGAACTAATTTTTAATAAATTACATCCAAAATATCACAAACCAATCAAAAGCAAAAAAAAAGTTCAGGCTCATAATGAGGAATATGAACTAGAATTAGGAGACAAAGTAGTAATTAAAAGCAGTCGTCCTTACTCAACCACTAAAAGATTTTTGGTAATCAAAAAAGAAGAAAAATTAAACAAAGTAACTGCACTAACAATATAAGAAGTATAAATATAATTAATTAATATGTTACAAAACGAGTCAATTTTATCCGTGGCTGACAATTCCGGAGCCAAAAAAATATTAGTAATTCGCTGTTTGGGTGGTTCTAATCGGCGGTATAGCCGAGTTGGAGACCTAGTAAAAGCAACAGTGAAAAAAGCTGACCCGCACGCCAATATCAAAAAAAGTCAAATAGTGACAGCGGTAATTGTGGCTACCAAAAGGCATTTCCGCCGACAAAATAATACTTGAATAAAGTTCAGTAAGAATTATGCCGTGTTAGTGAAAGAAGATGGCAAAGAACCAGTTGGAACCCGCATATTTGTCCCTTTATTAGCCGAATTTGACCAATGAGGATACAAAAAAATGTTTTCCTTAGCCCCCGAAATTTTATAAAACATTATGACAAAAAGTAAAATGAAATTAAAAACTGGCGATAAAGTAAAGGTTATTACCGGCCAGCACCGGGGAATAATTGATTATATTTCTCGTCTAGACACAAAAGAACAAACAGTTTATTTAAAAAAAGTTAGTCGCAAAAAATACGACAAATCTACTCCCGAAAATAAAAAAAAGAGTGAATTAAAGGAAATAATGACCCCGCTTCATATTTCTAATGTGGCTTATTGATTAGAAGATAAAAAGAAAATTACCAAAATTGGTTTTCAGGAAAAAGAAGGCAAAAAGGTGCGAAAATCCCGAAAATATAATATAGTAGTAAATTAATAAACATAAAAATATAATATGGTAAGAAAATGTGGGTTTTTTGATTGTAGTAATCCAATAGCAGAAAAAAAAACTAGTTGCCAAAGTTGCGAGGAAAGAAAAGAACAAAATATTTGTTCGGCTTGTCGACAACCAGAGCCAGAGGAGTCTGAAGTATTGAATTTTCACCTCTCATTTGTGAGAAAAAAATATCTATACGAGGCAGCTACCATAATGAGGGATAAATTGCCAGTTCAAATTCAAACTGAATTCGACCAATTATTACCCCAGTTAAAATTAAGTGCTAGTGAGCAAGAATTAATTACCAAAGTGGAAAAATTTCTTTCGGACTTTTTGGCGGAAAAAGGTGGCAAACAAGACCATGTTGATTGACTTTTATTTTGTTCGGTTTGTAATCCAGAATTTAATAACAAAGCAGAGGAAATTTTTGAGAAAAATCCGCAAAATAAAGCTCTAATAGAAAGTATAAACGAGAAAGGAAAAAAAATGAGCGAGTTTTTCACTGCCAAGAAACAAGGAATTAGCGAATGAGAAAAAATAGAGAAAGAAGTCGAAGAAAAAATTTATAAGCAAATCGCGACTAATCCTGACCCTAATCAGAAACCAAATCAGAAAGACCAAAATCAACCGAACCAAGATAATAATAATTCGGCGAAAATTACCCAATTACAACAGGAAGTCAATAGTTTAAAACAAGAAATCCGCGACTTAAAAAAACCTGGCAACCCTTCTCCTGCTAATTCTGATACTTTGCGAGATAAAGAAAGAAAATTGCAAGAAAAGGAAAAAGAGTTGAAAAAATTATCAGGTGAAAAAAATACTCCTCCTTCGAACAATCAAACTAATAATAATTCTAATTTGCCTTTAATAATTGGAGGCATTATTGGAGTAGCAGGAATAATTTGCTTAATTGTTGTTATCTTGCTAATTTCGCAAAAAAAAAAAAAAACAATAGTATATGCTTATAGTAAATAACTGGTGAGAAACCAAAAGAAAAGAAATCAAAAAAACAGTGGGAGAAAAATTCCAACATTCTTCACCAATGCAAACTACTGACATTGAAAAAATAGTTCTCAATAGTGGGGTTAGTCAAGCGGTTAACAACAAACAGTCCTTAGAAAATACTGAAAAGGCTCTGGTACAAATTGCTCACGGGCAAAAACCATTACTCACTTCTGCCCGCAAATCCATTACTGGTTTCAAATTGCGGGAGGGAATGCTGATTGGTTGTAAAGTAACACTAAGAAAAAAACGGGCTTGGAACTTCCTTTTTGAACTAATTAACATCAACTTTCCCTTGATTACTAATTTTCAAGGCTTTTCCAAGAAAAAATTCGACCAAAAAGGAAATTATAATTTGGGAGTAAACGACTTAAACATTTTTTCAACGGTTCCTTATGATTTAACTTTCAAAAATCAAGGAGTCCAAATTACAATTGTTTTCAAATCTTCTTCGGCTGAGGAAAATGGCTATTTTCTAAACTTGCTAGGCTTTCCTTTTAAGGAGAAAGAAAAAAAATAATAAAAAGGATAAGCAAACTTAATACTTCTGGTTAAGAAACTATGTTATGAAAGACAAAGCAGAAGAGAAGGAGATTATAAACAATTTACTAACAAGGAAAAAACATTGAGAGAGAAAACGAGATTTTTACCATAAATTATTTCATAAATACCAACGAAGAACTAATTTTTTCCTGTTTCTTCTTCTCTTTTCCTATTTATTTGTCCGCATCGTCGCACTTGAAAATAAAAATCGATGAACACTTATAACTTCTTCTGTGTTAATTGTAATTAACCTTGTTTTTTATGTTTATTTCTTAGGGTATTTTATGGATTACGATCGCAAATTAGAAAACTCTCTCCGGAAAATTAACCAAATTAACGAACAATTAATAGAAATTATGGCGTCTTCCCTAATTACTAATTCAATAAGTTAGGTGCCCCAGTCAAAGAGCAAGTTCCATCAATATTTTTCGGAAAAGCAATTAATTCTTTTAAACTATTAGTATTCAATATTACTGCCAATAAACGGTCAATCCCCAAACCAACTCCACCGTGCGGAGGAGCCGCAAATTCTAAGGCTTGCAAAAAATAACCAAAGTTTTTTTCTTGCTTGGCCTGGCTATATCCTAGTATTTCCAATACTTTTTCCTGTAATTCTCGCTGATAAATCCGAATACTGCCACTTAATAATTCTTCACCATTACAAACTAAGTCAAAGGCTTCACAGATTACTTGCTCCGGCTTAATTTTGTTAGTTAGTAAAGGTTGAATATACTTTTCTTGTGGGGTAGTAAAAGGATGACGAAAAGGCTCGTATTTTTTTGTTTCTTTATTATATTCGAAAAGTGGTCAATCAGTTATTCACAAGAAACTCAATTCTTGCTCATTTTTTGGGTTTTTTCGTAAATCAGGCTTATCAGTGCCATACTTTTTCATTACTTGGTGGCAAGTCAAAGTAGGAAAAGGAGTTTTTATTTGATAACCAAAAACTTTTTTTAAAACATTTTTCAGCAATTTTTCAATAAATCGTTTAATTTCTGGAAAAGTAACAAAACTCATTTCTAACTCTAATTGAGAAAACTCAATTTGGCGATTACTGCGGGCGTCCTCATTCCGGAAACTCTTAGCAATTTGGTAATATTTGTCAAAACTACTCACCATTAATAACTGCTTAAATATCTGGGCTGACTGTGGTAAAGTATAGTAACGGTTTTTGAGATTAGAGGGAACCAAAAAACAATTAGCCCCTTCGGGCGAACTTTGGGCTAAAATTGGTGTTTCAATGTCAACAAATTTTTGTTTATGAAGAAAATTCCTTATTTCATACAAAAATTGGTCTTTAATTAACAAAAGATTTTTGCTTTGGGGACGACGCAAATCTAAATAACGGTAGCGGTAGCGAGTATCCTCATTAATATTAACTTCGTCCTTAATTTCAAACGGTAATTCCTTGCTCTGGTTGATTAGTTGCCACTGGCTTAATTCTAATTCTATTTCTTTGTCAGAACCAGTTTTTTTTTTCACTTGTCCGGATATTTTTAACAAATCTCCTCTTTTTTTGCCTTTTAATTCGGCAATTAATTCCTGATTTTTAACTACTATTTGCAGATAACCACTACTATCTTGCCCAACCAGGAATAATAAATTACCTAGTTTGCGAATTTTGCTAATTCAGACACAAAGAACAATATTTTTATTTAGTCTTTTGTGATTTAGTTGGGCGATTTTTAGGAAAGAGACCATTTATAATTTTTATTTTTGAGAAAGTTTTTTCTTGTTTTTTATTATCAAGGCGATAAGCAAGCCAAAAACAATCAAAGTTATTCCGAGAAAAATAAAGAGACCTTTATTATCATTAGAAGAAATTTGGTTTGAGTAATTATTTTTGTTTTCTAATTGGCTCTCTAATTTTTTTATCTCTTTTTCTAATTGGTTTTTCTTTTCCGAATTAATGGTGTTGGTAATTTCCTCTTTTAACTTACTAATTTTGATTTTAATACCATTTTCCTTCTTTTCTGAATTTACCTGTTCGTTTTTCAAACTTAAACAATCCTCATGATAATGATTTTCCTCTAATCACTTACCATTTTTATCCATGTTTGCTCGACCAATAAATTTATCTTCTCCCGAACTAATCGTCTTTTTGCAATAAGAACATATTATCTCTTTTCCTTTTGGATTATTAACCCCAAAGCGATTATCATTTTCGGGCACTTCTCCTCTTTTTTTTCGTTCCTCATATTCTTTTTTATCAGCTTTTTTCCTGGCTTCGTCTTCTTCCCTGCGGCGTTGTTCTGCCTCTTTGTTTTTTTTTTTGTTTTCCTTTATTTTCTTTTTCTGTTCCGCAGTAAGTTCCCAATAAATAAATTTGGCCTGCCCTTCTTTATCTTCGTAAGAAAAGTTCTCACCATGGGCTCAGTAAAGATAAAGATTGCTGCTATCTATGTATTCGGATACTTTCTGAATAACTTTTTTTAATGTTTCGGAGAGAATAGTATAAATTTCCTTTGAACTATTTTCTTCCCAAGAAAAATTATAGTCTACTCCTTGCTGACATTTTTTTATTTCTGCTAATATTTTTTTTCCTTTGTCTGCCATAAACTTATGTATTGTTTTTTCTAATATTTGCTAGGCTTATTATTAATATTTTAAGAAGAGTGTTTACTAGACAGAACTTCTACTTGGGCTTCTTGCTGATTTTCTTCTTCCATTATTTCTGTTCCTGTGTTTTTAGTTTGGGTGCCTACTTGTCGGGTTTTCTTTTCGCCGAGTTGCTCAGAAATTTCAGTTAGTACTTGTCAATATTCCTCCAACTCCTTTTCTAGTTTGTCAATTTTTTCCTCTTTTTCTTGTAACTGAACTTGGACATCAACATAATTAGGGTCGTGGGCTTGTCGTCACTTAGTTATTTGAAAATTATAAGGTTTTAATGCATCAATAATAATTGAAGAGAATGCAGAACTATTTTTTTTATCATTATAGCAACGGAGGCTTACTAAACTAGTAGGCAAATAGTCTAAACCACTATCAATATTAGTATTAGAAATGTCTAACTCTCGCAAATGAGACAAGTGTTGCAGAGGTTGCAAAGAACCAATAAAATTATTATGTTTTGTGTTAATATCACTACCAATTATTAATACTTCCAAGTTGACAAAATTACTAAACATTGATAAATAACGTTGCGACAAGTTATTGTTAGAAATTCTTAAATAGGTTAGTTCAGTAGTACTGATAACATTTAAATTCAAGTCAGTCAGATTATTATGCGAACAGTCTAAACAACGAATTTTGCAAGAAGGTAATTTTAATTTAGCAATATTATTATTAGAACAATTTAATTCTTCTAAATTATAAAAAGTTGTTAAATCCAAATTTCCCTCTAAAAATTTATTTTGTAAATCTAACTTTTTTATAGCACTTCTTTGTTGGAGCGGATAGTGTTGATCGATATAATCTTGGGATTTAGGCATAATACTAATTTTATTAAAAATAAATTTTATGAGAAAGGAAATTTTTTTCTCTTTACATTTTTATAATTCGGAAGGTTATGCCAAAATTACGGAAAATTTATAACCAGAGAAGTGAAACTTAAGCAAAGAAGCAAAAAGTCTTCTATCCTTAAAAATAAAAATATATATTAAAGATATTTCAATAGAATGCAGACTAAAAAAAATAATTTTCGCTTATTAACTATTTCAGTTTTTCTTCACTTTTTTTCCTGTTTTTGTGCCATTTATTTCGATCTTTATAAACCTAATTGATGTTTAAGTGAAATTAACTACTGATGATATTTCTTTTGCTGATGAAGTGCCCAAGCATCTTTAATTACTATCATTTACTTCATTTATCGATTATTCAAAAAGTCGTCGCCCAATTATTTTGATAAAGTTTTTGATTTGATTGTGATTAATGCTAATGTTACCTCCATTGTTCTTTTTTCCATTGGCATGTTGCCGTTTTGTTGGGGAGGAAAACCTTGAATAGCTGCACCAGGCAAGGGCAAGATTAGTGTGTTTTCATTAGTAATGGATAAAAGAATATTTTGATGATTTTATGCCATTATTTGGCATTATTTAGCTCCTGTTTTGGCAATTACTTATTTTGCTCGGCGGAAAGTTAGTTTAGCCGAAACTTATTACGAAAGAAAACAATTATTCCTTTATAGTTTTATCCACCCTTTTCTTTATATAGTTTGTGTTTTCTATCGTCCGTTAATTGTAGGGTCAAAAAAGTATAAGTGCGGTAAGTGAGATTATCCTTATATTTTTTTTAAATGAGTAGCGGAATACGGCAAGTCGAGTAATTTTATTTGGGGTTTACTGTTTCTTTTTTTTATTTTCTTTGCCCTAACTGTAGTTTGATTTACTACTTGGCTCGTTTGGTGGCGCGTTCATCATAAATTAAAAATAAGTCCGAACAATGATTTGGAGAAAAATAAACTTTTTAGCCGTGTCCCTCCTAGCAAAAAGCCAAAAAAATAATTCGTGGCGCGAGAAAAAAGATAATATCAGTAAAATTAAGTTATGAAAGTAATAATTTGGTGATTGGCCTTAATGATTATTTTGCCACTTCTTTATTTGTTTTGGTGAAAAAAAAGATGACGGTTACTATTTGGAATTATTATTTTGGTGGTTTTGGCAATTGGTTATCTTTTTCCAAGCGAATTTGCTTATTCACTGTTAACCTCCGAAACCGACAAGGAAGACCCGTCGCAAAAGTTGGAAGAGGCTTTGAGGAATATTTCCGATACAAAGCCAAGTCCTTCTGACCCAGAAAAACTCAAATTAGAAAAGGAGATAGTCAAGACAAAGAAAGAAATTGAAAAATTGGTTGCAAAAAAAACGAGAGGAGAAAAGTTAAGTGAAAAAGAACAAGCTGAAATGAATTCAAAAGTCTGGCGATTACGATGGTGAATGAGGGAATGGATTAGAAAGTGAGGAAAAAAGAAAAATCCTCCAACTTTCTTATTTTGCGGGGAACGTTTTAATGAAGAACTGAGTAGAAAAGGAGAAAGATGAGGAAAAGATTGACGAAAGGTAGAGGTTTATAATATTATTGATTTTGGCGAAAAAGAGAACAACAAACCTGATTTGCTGAAAAAAAAATTACAAGAAATTTGCGAACAGAATGAAATCGATCTAGAACGCGGTCTTTCTCTGATTGTTTGGTTAAAAAACATTGATAAAATTACTAATTCAGAACTAAAAGATGAATTATTGAAAATGGTTGACCCCGACAAAAAATCTAACTTGGGGGAATATCACAAAGAAAGAAAAGAAAAGAACAAGACTGAAAAAATAAAAAAGACTATTGATTTATCCCAGTTTACTTTGGTTGCTACTACTTCCACTACTAATCCACAACTGCCTAAGGAATTACAAGCCAAACTAAAACATGTTGAGCCATTTTTTGATAAATATTTCTGAGTTTTATTTTTCTCCTCACTTGGAGCAGAAATTGTTATTTTTTTTCTACTTATCAGAGCCAGAAAGAAAGAAAAAAAGAAAACCCTCAAACAATTTGATTATTAATAATTTTTGGTGCCTTGTGGAGGACTCGAACCTCCAACCCCCTGATTAAGAGTCAGGTGCTCTAACCATTGAGCTAACAAGGCTAAAATGAGTACTTATAATTAATTTTAAGTTTCTATAATTTCTAAATCTTGACTATCTTCCCCAAAAATACATTTGCCTTCTTTATTAATTCAATTTGGTGTGCCATAGCGAATAATAAAATTTTTCCCTATTTGTACTTTTCCTTGACTTAATAATTTTTTAGTTTGGGGATGATTTTTGCTAATAAACAGAACCGCAAAATCCTCTGGTGTTGTTTCATCAAAATACACAGTATTACTAAAAACAAAATTATTACCTTCACCCTCACCGATATAAGCAAGTTTTTTTTCGCTTCTGCTTCCTGGGTTGGTTGGATTTAGGACTTTAATCATCACAGCAAAATTATCATTCTTTTCCGAAAAATAATAAACATGGTCCTGATTATGATATTTTTCAAATTGTTCAGGGAAGAAAGAAAAAGTATAATGATTACCTTTGTTAGTTAATTCCTTAATTAGTTTACCAGAATAAAGTGAGTTTTTTTATCAATCAAAATAGTTTTATTACTATTGTGAACTGCATAAATATAACTTTTGCCTAGTTCGGCAAAATAAGAACAATTAAAAGTTAGTTTATTTTGGTCGGAAGGAAAAAGTGGGTCAGGAGAGGAATTTGGCTTCGGAGAATTATATCTTGGCGGTTGATTATCTTTTTGCTCGACTGATTGGCTTTGATTTTTTCCTGATAATCTTCCTAACCAAAAACTCCCCATAATAAAGACTATGGCAAGGAGAATACTACCAATGATTACTGTTTTTTTTTTTTTTTTTTTGCGGAGCTGTCATGAATTTTCTATTATTATAAATTTATTAGAAGTTATTAAAACTTTTTTATAATTCCTATGTTCCAACTTGTAACTAATTTTCAACCAAAAGGAGACCAGCCCAGTGCTATTAGGAAGCTAGTTGCTGGCATTCGCCAAGGGCAAAAAGAACAAGTTTTATTAGGAGCAACCGGAACCGGCAAAACTTTTACCATGGCTAATATTATTCAAGAAACCCAAAAATCCACTTTAATTTTGGCTCATAATAAAACACTGGCGATGCAAATTTATCAAGAAATGCAAGGGTTTTTTCCTCATAATAAAGTTGAATATTACGTTTCTTATTTTGATTACTATCAACCGGAAGCCTATAAGCCGGCCAGTGATATTTATATTGGCAAAAAAGTTCAGCGGAATGCCGGTATTGCCAAAATGCGTTTAAAAACCTTAAACTCTTTGGTTACTGATAAGCAAGTAATTGTAGTAGCATCCGTAGCCGCTATTTATGGTTGTTTTGACCCCACCTCTTACCGGAAAGTAGTCATTCATTTAGAAAAAGGACAAAAAATAGACAATAATTTAGTTAAACATAAATTACTCCTCCTCGGATATAAGGATAATAAAAAAATCAACCCTGGAAATTGTCAAGTCGAAGAAGATAGTATTTCTTTTATGTTGGGTTGAGAAGAAAATTATTATTTTCAGTTGAGCACTGTTGAAAATAAGGTTAAAAAAATAGAAAAAAGGGATAAACAAACCGGCGAAAAAATAAGAGAATTAACCGAAATAGCCATTCCGCCCAGTCAGGATTATGTGGGCGAAGAAGGAGAAGAATTAGCCGAAATTTTAGCCGAAATTGAAAGAGAATTGACCGAACAAAAAGAACACTTTTACCAGGAAGGAAAATTTTTGGAAGCCGAAAAGTTAGAAAAAAGAGTACAAGCCGACTTATTTAATTTGCGGGAAATGGGTTTTTGCCCCGGCATTGAAAATTATTCTCGTTATTTTGATGGCAGAAAAGAAGGCGAAACTCCCTTTACCCTCTTAGATTATTTCCCTTCTGGTTTTTTAACTATCGTTGATGAATCTCATATTACTATCCCACAAGTAAAAGCCATGTATAATACCAATCGTCACCGGCTAGAAACTTTAATAAAACATGGTTTTCGTTTACCTTCGGCGCTCGATAATCGACCGCTCAGTCAAGCAGAATTTTTTGAAAAAATTAATTATTCTCTTTATGTTTCTGCCACCCCGGGGGATTTTGAATTAGCCAAAGTCAATTATCAACCAGTCGAGCAAATTATTCGTCCGACCGGTCTTTTGGATCCGCAAATAGAAGTAAGAACCACCCGCAACCAAATTGCTGATATTATTGACGAAATAAAAGAAAAAAGCAGTCGCGGAGAAAAGGTTCTTATTTATGCTTTAACCATTGCCATGTCGGAAGACATTGCTAGTTTTTTACAAGAGAGAAATATTCGGGTTGTTTATCTCCATAGCCGATTAGAGATTTTTGAGCGGTATCAGGCGATTACTAGTTTGCGACGAGGAGTGTATGACGTAATAGTGGGGATTAATTTACTCAAAGAGGGAATAGACTTGCCGGAAGTTTCTTTGGTCTGCATTTTGGATGCTGATAAGCCCGGCTTTTTGCGAGACACTCGCTCGCTAATTCAAATAATTGGTCGCGCCTCACGGAATAGAAATGGCAAGGTTATTTTATATGCCGACACAATTACTAGCAATATGCAAGGTGCTATTGAGGAGACCAATCGTCGTCGGCAAATTCAAGCAGCCCATAATACTCAAAATAACGTTATTCCTCGAACAGTTGAAAAACCGATTAAGGACATTGTACTTGACCCCTTAATATCCTTGTTAGTCGAAAAAGCCCAAAAAGGAGAAATGGCCGAAAAAGAGTTAATAAAATTAGTTAAAGATTTACGACGACGAATGAAAAGGTCGAGCAAAGAATTCAAGTTTGACCAAGCTATTGCTTTTCGCAATGCCCTTTTAGATTTGGAAAAAGTAGAAGGAACAATAACTAACAATCCTAAAATAACTATATAGAATTATTCTATATTAACCTAATATAAACATTATGACAAAATTAAACAATAGCCTGCCACCTTACGCAGAAGAAATAATAATAAATGAACTAAACAACCCACTGGAACAATCAGAATTAAACCAAAATTCTAATATGGCTGAGGAAAAAGAAAGCAAAGAGTATTGAATGGATAAACAAAGCCAAAGAATTACGGTTAAAAATTGAAAAGGAGAATTAGATTTAGGACCAATTGAAAAAGCAGCAGGATTTAAAATAAGAGAAATTAGTTTTTTAGGCAAAGCTAGCAACTTTTCGGTTGTTAATTATTCTTTGCCGTTAATGGTGGATTATCCTTCGTTAGAGAAAAATATCAAAGAATTTTTTAATTTGCCTTGATTACTTAACAATGAAAAGATAGTGGTTCAAGGTACACTGTCGGAAGATTTAGATAAAGAACTTGTCCAAGGCAAAGAGCATGATAAGACTTTTCAAAAATTGTTCTGAAATTTAAAAAGCGGAAGGGGAAATTTATTATCATTTATCGGCATTGAATTACTTATTGATATCGCAGATTTAGACCAAATAATTGCGGATTATGATTATAGTCGGTGGGGAGACCAAGAATATCATAACCAACTTTTTGGTGGTAATGAAAGATTTAAAAACCTTTACACAGCTTTTGATAACCTAGCTAACCGAGTACTTGCTCGTAATATCATTGTGACTAACCGACTAACCCACGGAGAAGATAAAGAAAGTGAAGAAAATATTATGAAACATGCTTTTGATTATCAACAATGTTATAAAATTCCCGAACCTAAAATTTACTCAGAAATGAGAATAATAGAAGCCGAAAAAAAATTACAAGCCGTTGTTGACCAAGCCCTCACTGGCGATAAAGAATTATTAAGCAGAATAGCCGATTTACCATATATTAGTGAGTGAGTAAAAGAGCAGTTAAAAAATAATTTCGGCAATGACATTAATGAACAAAAATCAACTAAACCTCTATCAAAAAAAGCTCGGAGGAGGAAGCAACGGGAAGAAGAATTAAAGAACCTAAGCCGAAATAATAGTGATGAAGAAGTCAATTAATGATGATTAAAAGACAGCTGTTATCGCAAAAAGAAGTAAAATAATAGAGTTTTTATCCTTTTTACTCCTTAAAGAAAGAAAGTAAAAAAATAAAATTAAGAAACCGAACAAATCCAAGAAGCTTTAGGTAAATTACAACAACCTATCCCAAATAACTTTTCAAAATTAGAACAAATTAACCAACTAACTGATATTCAACAAATCACTAATCTCCAAGATAGGATACTAGCCGATATCCAAGCCCGTCGCCAAGACAAAAAAACCGCTCAGGAAGTCAAAGAAAATCTCCAAAAAGCCCAAACTGGAACCAAAGAAGAAAAAGAACAAGCCTGAAAAGACTTAGAAAAACAAGAAACGGAAAAAGGTTATAACGATAATAAAGAAGAAGTAGAAAAGTTGAAAAAAGACAAGGCGACAGAAAATCCTCAGGAATATGGTCAAGAAGCCAAAAAAAGAATTGCGGAGAAATTAAAAGATAATGGGATTAAAGAGGATGAATTAGATGAGGAAAATAAAAAGGACTGACAAAAGTTAAAAAATGGTGAAATCCAAGACCCCGACCAGTTAGTTGCCACCGAAACTAAAATTAAGCAAAATATTTGCCAAAAAGAGGCCGAGAAGAAAGTAGTTGCTTTAACTGCCCAGGTCAATCAAGTTTTAAAATCAAAAGCCAAAGCCCAAATAGCAACCGTAAAAAAACTGTAGAAAATTTATTAACCCAACTGGAAAATTGTTCAGTTAGAAATAATGACCGAGATAGTTCTTCGGTAGCAAAGCCTGATAATTTTCCTTGAAAGTTAGTTATTCCACTTTTACTAATTGGAACATTATTAGTGATGATATTGTTAATATTAAGAAAAAGAGTTAGCAAAAGAAGAAAGAAAAAAGGAAAAATAACTTATTAGTTTTTCTTATTCTAAAGACAGAAATAATTAACAAATTAAAACATGATAAGAAAAACATAATAATTTATTTCTTGGCTAGTTTTTAATTTTTCTAATAAAGATTTTAGTTGGTTTAGCATATTATTTTGCTCTTTCTCTCTCTTTGGTCTACTCGTTTTTGATAGCAGAGGCTGGATTTGAACCAATAGTCTCTTATGAGCCAAGTGAGTTAACCACTACTCTACTCTGCGGTATTTGGGAGAATGTAAAAAAATACATAAAATAAAACATATGGAAGAAAAAGAGTTGGCTGAGTATCACCTAAAAGGTGAATTTCTGATGAGCTCGGGTCTAACCATTATTTTAGAAATGAAATTAACCAAGTCGCCTGATCAATCCCGTTTTCCGATGAAGGACAAATTTAGTTGGATTGCTTGTAATAAAGATAATCTGCAAGAAGAATTCATCTTATTTGATAATCACCATAAACCACCGCACTTCCATATTGATAGCCAAGCCAAATTTACCTTTTTTGCTTGGACTTCCCGAGAAAATGCTCAGTTATTGTTCTTTGAGCAAGTAGAGAGGAAATTTGGTTATTTTTTAATTCGCACTAAATAATAATATGACAAAAACTAAAACATTTACTTTTAAATATGATCCCGAACTTACTACCGAGGGAATGTTTGCTGATTTTTGACAAGCCGTAGACGGAAAACAGCGTTTAGTCAAACCACATCAGATTAGTTCACCGCACATTGAAGTTCTGTTAGCCAGCATCAATAAAAATCGTTGGGAGATATTTCACACCCTGGTGGCAAAAAAACCTAATTCTTTAACTGAGTTGGCCAAATTATTGAATAAGGATTATGGTAATGTTTGGCGGGATGCTAAAATATTGGAGAGTATGGGAATAATTGAACTAAAAAAAGTCGGACCAGAAGTGCAACCAATTGCTCTCTATGAACGGATTGTTTTTGATTTATCAACTAAGCGGATTATTGATGCTCCTTCGGTTGGGATTCGGCCAATCCTCAATCATTAACCTTTTATACTTTGTTTTTAAGGAAAAAAACTTTTAAACTCCCATCCTTAATTATATCTCATTAGTCTACAAATCCTGCTGGACTTAGTTTTTTTTGGCAAATAACTTTGTCAATTTTTTTTATGTGAAATGTGTTTTTTAGACACTTTTTTTAAAAATTATTTTTAGTGGTAAGTAGTCTAGTTCTAGATTTTTTCGCAAGTAATTAGTAATATATCGTTGATAGGAAAAATGAACCCATTGTGGATTATTAACAAAAAAAATGAAACTTTGAGTTAAGCCCGGTTCTTGCTTAGCAAAATAAATTTTTATTTTATTACCCTTAAAATTTTTGGGTGGATTATTAAGGAGCATTTTTTCTACTGTATCGGCTAGTCCTTTTTTAGAAAGTTTTTTCTGGGCTTGTTCCAACATTTTTTCTAAGACTTTTAACAGTGATTTAATTCCTACTCCTTTTAAAGCCGAGATATAAATTATCGGTACATAACCCAGTGATTTTAATCGACTTTTTAACTCTTCTTTTAACTCCTCTTTCTCCTCCAACAAATCACATTTGTTAATAATTATAATAAGCGGTTTGCTATGCTTTTCCCCCAAATTAACTATTTGCAGGATTTGTTTGGTCAAGGGCAGAGTAGCATCAATTATTGCTCAGGCTAAATCACAATTCCTCCACACATTCTCTTTTAATTTCTGTTCTTTGGTAATGCCGGCCGTATCAACTAGTTCCAAGTCAATTTTTTTCCAATTTCAATTACTAATTACCGGCTCTTGGGTAGTTCCAGCAATCGGAGTAGCCAAAGAACGATTTTCTTTCAGCAAATAATTCATAAGAGTAGATTTACCGGAATTAGGTGGGCCAAAAATAAGTAATTTTGATCGATTTTCTTTTTGGTTAGTGTCTTCGCCAGAAGAGTGGGGCAAAAGAGTAGTTATTTGCTTTATTAATTTGCCGATATTAGTTCCTTTCAAAGCCGAAATAGTGAAAAAATATTGTGGTCAGAGCGATTGATAATCAAAAAAATCATTTTTGTCGGTTAAATCTATCTTATTAAGTATTAAGATTTGCGGAGCCGGAAATTTTTTTAAGCATCTTTTTAATAAAACTTCTTCCTCGGCTATTTTGTCAATTACTCAACAAATTAAATCACTTTCCTTTAATAAATCCTCGGTTTGTTCTTTAATTCCCTTTTCTATTTCTGTTTTGGGGGAAAGAATAAAAGTGGGAGTATCAATTAACTTATAAACATTATTTCCTATTTTGACTAAACTTTCGGTATAGTTAATTAGTGGGCTTGACTTAATATCTCCTTTTCTTTCATTAGCGGAATTTTTGATTAAATGCCGAAAAAGAGTAGTTTTTCCTACTTCTTGGCTTCCTATTATGGTAATTATTTTCATGTAAAAAAATGCCCTCTTTTATACCTTCTCAGGCGGTAACTTTCTGAAAAAATGAGCAAGATGATGATTAGAAAGATTTAATTTATTTCCTTTTTTAGCTTTGGACTAGCCCGGAAACTTATTCTGTTTTTTGCTTTAATTGCTATTGGTTTACCAGTCTGAGGATTTCGGGCTGTTCTGGGTAAGGAACGACGAACTTTTAAACTGAAATAACCTCAGAGCAGAATATCTTCTTTTTTCTGCAAACTAGTTTTTACTTCTTCTAAGAATTTATTAATTATTTTGGGGACTTTTCTTTCTTCTCATTTTTTTATTTCCTCATTCAGGTGAGCCCGTAATTGTTTTTCTTCAATATTGAGCCGGACTTGGGGATTTTTTTTGGCTGATTTTACTTGGGCGATAATTTTTCCCACTAATCTCTTATCTTCCGCAATCTCTTTTTTTATCCTTGTTATCAGGATGTCTTTATTAGTAATATTTGTCATATGATTTATTTTTAGATGCTATTAGTATTATCAATTAAATTTTTCAATTTCTCGCAAGAAAAATTCTTGCAGACTATAAAACAAAAAAGTGTTGATCTCAGTTTCATTTTCCTTGCCGTGATGACCCTTAGGACAATGATGATAAATAAGAAAAGCGTGGGCAAACTCGTGGGCAATAGTTTCATTAGTGGGGTTATCCCTTAGTCTGATAGTAATTTCCTTAACTCGCGAGTTAGCAATTTTTTCCGTTTCGGCTTGCAGTTCTTGATTCACCTTCTCTATTTTTTCTCCTATTTCTCCCCGTTTAGCTTCTTCGGACACCAACTTAAAGTCTATCTCTAACTTTTTGCGTTTTTTTTCTAAGTCTTGAATTTTCTTAACTTTATCATTAATGTCATCTATTTTGTCCTTTCATTTCGTACAGCCCAAATCTTCTTGACAATGATGGCACTGCACTTTACAAATTTCATACTTGAATTTTAATTCGGGTTCGGGTGGCAAATATTTTTCTTTTAATTTTTCAATGGTTTGGTTCATAACAATATTATTTATTTATATTTTAGCAATTCAACCAAGTCCAAGTTTAGGTTAGAATCCTTAATAAAATCCGAACGTTCTTCGGAAGAGCTGGTGGTTATGTACAGCCTTATTTTAGGACGGGTTATTGCGGTAAAAAACAGATTTTTTTCTTCCCGTTCTTCCCATTCATTGGCAAATTGCTCCTTGCGGGGTAAGACTTTTTTATCACAAAAGATAAGGAAAACATGATCGGCTTCTAATCCTTTCATACCGTGAATGGTAGAAAGAGTAATTCCTTGATGATTTTTCATAATCTCTTCTTCCAATCGGGCAATGAATTTATTAATTTCCTCCAAAGTAAGGTAAGTTCCAATTTTTCGTTCTTCATCGATTTTTCTAATTATCTCCGTTAACTGAAAAATGCTATTTTCGGAAATTTTTAAACTGGCTAAAAAGCTCCTTAAAGCGGGAGATTTGCCCTCCCCAAAACTTTTTAATTGTCGGCGAACTTTGTAGATGATACCAGTGATTATCGCTTCACTTATATTAGTAGTAATACCTTTTTCATCTAGTCATTTTTGCAGTAATTTACCAATTCAATTCTTGCGATAAAGTATCGCTTTGGAATTCTGGCTGTCTAACTGGCTAATAATTGGTAAAATTGCATCTAAATGCTTTTTGAGCTTTTTGCTACGGATTTTTTCGCGGATAATCTCGGATCTTTTTTTAGTTAATTCTGAGTTTTGTAGTTCTAATTCCTCGTCAACTTCTTTTTCTTCCTGGTGGCTCAATCGATAGTCTGATTCTTGTCCAACGATAATTATTTGCGGTTTATGACCATTATTAGACTTAATAGTCCGAATTGAATCACGATAATTCATAAATTTGCGAATAAAGTCATTAGCAAACTCGGCAATTTCTTGCGGTAAACGGAAACTGGTAGCAATGACACTATGGGTCTCGTTGGGAAATTTCTCTTTTAGTAAGGCAAAAATATCCTGCTGGGCTCCGGCAAACCCCATAATATTTTGTTTGGGGTCTCCCACGAAGGTAAAATTAGCGTGCTCACTTCCAAATACCTCCGTAACTAAATTCAGTACTTCCCCCTTTAAATCTTGGCATTCATCAACCAAAATGTAATCAAATTCTGGTCAAATTTTTTGATCCTTTATTTTACCAAAACTTAAACCGTTTTCAATTATATTATCAAAATCTAATCAGACGTTTTTTTCTTGGTCATGCTGGCAACTTTCTTCCAACAATTTTAACAATTCTCTTTCTTCAGGGAAAATGGCTTGAACTTGGGCTAAAAAGGGAGCATAATCAAACATATAATGATAATAAGGCTCAACCATTCTTGTTAATACGACATTTTCTGGTTCCTTAAAAATCTCCCACAACTCCTTTCTCTTGGCTTTATCCAAGTATTTTTCGGTTATTTGGCTTAAAAGATAATTAAAAAGTCTTTTTTTATAGGATTTTATTGGCCCTTCTGATTTTCAAATAAATTTCTGTTTTTTGTCCTCAACATGAACAAAGCTTTGTTTTCGCTCAACGGTTTGGGTAGAAACAAGGATTTTAATTTTCCTTTTTTCTTGAAATTGCTTTTTAATTACCACATCAGTTATGCCGTTAGCGAGGGAATGAACCGTGCAAACTAGAGCCAAAGGCTTCATATTTTCCAAGTAGGTCGGACACTTATCCAAAGAGCAGGTGTGTCGATGAGACAAAGCAGGCAAAATATTTTTCAAACGGTCATAAACTTTTATCTTTTCAGACTTTAACTTAGTTCTTATTTCTCGAGCAATATTTTTTCCATAAGCTAAGACTAAAATTAATTTCCTTTGCCACTCGTTTTGCTGATGAATAAAAAGAACACGATGTTTTAAGACCTCGGTTTTGCCCGTGCCTGGATCGGCATTAATAATCAACTTATTCTTGTTTAGAGGGCATTCGACACATCTTTTTTGTTCTTCAGTCAGTTCAATTTTGTTCATAAAATCTAGTGTGGATATAATTAATTTTTAGATAAAATAATAAAAAACTTATAAATCAGTCGAACTTTTACTTAAATTTTAGATACCATGCCGTACTGAATAGCAATATTATTGGGAGTAATCATTTTGATTATTTATTATTTGCGGAAAATTATTTCCAAAAGTTTACAAGAAAGCCGGACAAACAGGTGAAGAAAGCACAGTGAAAATAATTAAACAATTCATTGAGGCTGAACATTAAGGGATAATTATTGATCCAAATAAAACCCGCAAACACTATCCCTACATAAAATCTACTAAAGAAAGGAGAAGACTGCGAGAAATTTTAAAATAATAACATTTTTAATTACTTTTTTTTTTTCTTTGCCTCAATTTCCATAATTACTTACCCAAAGAATTCCGTAAATAAAAAAATACTCCCAAAATAATTGCGAAAAGAACAAAAGTGATACCAAATAACCAATAATAAAATTGCTTAAATTTGGTTTCTAATTCCTTAATCTTTTTGATATTTTTTCTTTCTAAGTTGGTTAATTCTTTCCTTACTAATTCCATTACTTCCTCTCTATACCTCTCTAGTTGTTTTTTATTTTCTTCTTTCAAAAAATTTCTTAAATCACTCCTCTCTTTTTCCAGTATTTGGACTAGTTCTGACTTATTTTTTTCGCACTTTTCCACAACTTCTTCCGAAATACTTTTCCTTAATTCCGCTAATTTTAATTGGTGATTTTCTTTCTCCTCTTTCTTTTCTATTTTTAAATATTCTAATTCCTTTTCCAAGTCCTTTCTTAAAGAAGTAAAGAAATCATTTTTACTTTCATTCATATTAAATTATTTTAATTTTTCTAACTCTTTTTCAAAATTAATGGTAATGTTTTTCCATAATCACCTCATTAAATTTTCCATATACTCTCAGTTAGTTTCACCTTTATTAAAAATGATATTATCTAAAATATCTTAACAATCAACTTAACTAAAATGAATTCAGAAAATAAGGAAACTTCCGAATTATTAGGACTCGGCAAGTTAAAAGATAAATTACTAAACTTAAATCCACTTTACAATCGAAAAATAAGATTTTATACCAGCGAACGGTTGTCGTGGGACTTAGCCGAACTATTAAATAAAAGTAATCCAAGGTTGGTTAATATTTTCGCATCTTCTATTTTAAACTTGTTAAGTAATTCCGGAAATTGTTCCCTTGATTTAGAACCATTTTTTCAGCCATTAGCTCCCGAAGATATTTCCAAGTTCCAAAAAAAGATAATTCATCTCCAAAAGAAAAATTTAGCATTTTATCAAGAAAAGGGACACAAGTCACTCTTTCTTGGTGTTGTTTTTTTACATGGTTATTTTTATAATAACAAAAATATTCTGCGCTTTGTTAATGCTCCTTTATTCTTGCTACCGTGCGATTTGGAAAAGATTAAAAATTTAAGTTTAGTTTTTCGGTCAGAACGGAAAATTAATTATAATTTACTTTATTATCTCCAAAAAGAGTTAGGCTTAGCCAAAAAAAAATTCACCGATTTTTTAAGCAAGTTAAGGAGTGAAAAAAAGGTAGACAGTTGAGAAAATTATCTAATTTTCCTTACTAATGAATTGCAAAACTTGCTTGCATCTAGTTCTATCAAAGTTACGCCCCCGTCAATAATTTCTTCGTTAACAGAAAAAGAAAAAACAAACAGTGCTGAACTGAATCTCACTCCTTTTTTTGAAATAAAACCAAATGATATAAAAGAAGAATTTTTACCTAAGCCATTTGTTCGATTAACTTTCAGTAATAAGCCCAATTATTACCCAGAAAATCAATTAAAAATAGTTTTGAATTTTTGCTTAACCATTGATAGCGAGCCCAATTTAAGTTTATTCCGTGATTTTGAGGAAATTATTCAAGAATATTCACGAGGTAATATAATTAATTGATCGAAATCAGCCTTGAATTTGTTAAGAGGTGAGGCGGAAAGTATGGTTAGTTATTCCAAGGAGAAAGAAACGAGCAAGCAAGCAAAGCCTCTCTATACCCCTTTCCCCAGCGACCCCTCTCAAACACGAATTTTAAAAGTAATTTTTCAACACTTTTCCGAAAATGCTCTCTGCATTGATGGTCCACCGGGAACCGGAAAAAGTCAACTAATTTGTAATTTACTGGCTAATTCTTTGGCTGATCAAAAAAAAGTTTTAGTAATTTGCGAAAAAGAAGTAGCCTTAAAAGTTATCTATGATAAACTAACCTCCATCGGCCTCAATCTCTCAATTATAAAGATAAATGAATTAGCCCAAACTCCCCAAGTTTATCGGGATATATTAAACCACATCGAAAATAACCAACCAGAAAGGACTAATCGAAACTATTACTTCGACAGTGCCAAACAAATTGCTGATTTAGAAGAAAAACAAGCGTCTAATTTAAAGAAAATTGCTAATTATTGTCAAGTTGAAAACGAATTTCAAACTTATCGGCAAATTTCTTTACAAGAAGTTTATCTAAAATTTGACAGCAAGCAGCAATTATCGCCAACACTAATTCAATTAAATAAATCAGTCAAAAATAAGGAACAATTAGAAAAATTAAAGTTCGATTTAGGAAATTATATTAGTAAATTTAGTAAAATTTTTACAAAGTGAAAGCCAGTTCGTCTCCAACTAAAAAATTTATTTTTAAAAAATAATCCCCAAAAATTTGAATTTAATTGAGAAAATCAAAATAATTTTCAGGAAATAATTAGTAGTATATTGAGAGAATTAAAAGGTGAAAAAACAAAAACTAATTTACTATCCCGAATTTTACGTATAAAGTTAGTCCAAGAATGCAGTAAAAATCACCAATCAATAAAATTATTAGAAAACAAAATAAAAGATTTAGAGGAATTACAAGCGGAGCCTCGTTATCAAAACTTTTTCATTTTTTTACAAATCGAAAACTTTGCTGACTTTTGGCAAAAATGTAGCGATGAAAAATTTTTAATTATTATTCAACAGTTTATTTCGGAGGAGTTTTTAGCCATTGGGGAACTTCATTTTTTTTGAGTCAATTTTGATGAGAATACCAAAAAAAATATTGATTACTTTTTCCAAAGGGTCTTGGTCGATCAAGAATTTAACTATTTGAATAACTACACCAAAGACTGCGAACAAGCCGTTTATTTCAATTGGATAAAAGAAGTAGAAGAAAAAAATAGAGAAGTTTTAGCGAACTGAAACCAGGGCGAATTAACCAGAATCCAACAGGAGCAACAAGAAATTGCTAAAAAGAAAAATAATTTAGTAAAAATAAGTTTGAAAAATAAGCAAAAAGAAAACTTAAATAAAATTTTCGCTAATCAAGTATTAAGAAATGAATTAGGCAAGAAGAGAAAAATTTCTTCTTTAAAAAGACTTTTTCCAGAATTAGTGAATTATTTTCCGATTTGATTGACTACTCCCGAAGTTATTGCTTCGATAACTAACCGACAAGAAGCGCCTTTTGACTTTCTCGTTTTTGACGAAGCTTCCCAGGTGCCTTTGGAAAAAAGTATTCCACTCTGAGCCCGGGCCAAAAAATGTATTGTTATTGGCGACGAGCAACAATTACCACCAACTGATTTTTTTAAAAGTCATTTAGGGGATGATGAGGAAATTTGAGAGCAAGAGGAGGAAGAAGAGAAATTACTAAACAACCAACAAGAAAATATTAATATAGATATTGATGATTTAGAAAAAAATAGTAATTTGTTAAGTTATGCCAAAAAGTATGTTCGCAATAAAGAAAAATTAACTTTATTATACCATTATCGTTCGCGTTATCCAGAACTAATTGAGTTTTCTAACCAAGCTTTTTATAATGGCATCTTGCAGATTGTTTCGGCCAGCGAATTAAGAAGAAATGATTATTCGCTCATTGAATATCATTACCAAACTAAGGGGTGCTGGATAAATACCGAAAATCAAGTAGAGGCTCGTTACATTATTGAATTATTAAAAACTCTTCCACCGAATAAAGAAATTGGAATTATTACTTTTAATGTCAAACAACGAGATTTATTGATAGATTCAATTACGGAAGGAAGCAACTATAAAAATCTATTTATTAAAAATTTGGAAGAAGTGCAAGGAGATGAAAGAGATATAATTATTTTCTCCACTGGTTATGGTCCGAACAAAGAAGGCAAAATTTTTCTTAATTTTGGCCCATTAAACAATGAAGGAGGAGAAAAACGACTCAATGTTGCCATCAGTCGAGCCCGGGAAAAAATGATTATTGTCACTAGTCTTTTACCGGACGATTTAAAAAGAATTACCGAGGAAGACGAAAACCGAAAGCCTGGACCCAAACTATTCAAAAAGTATTTAGAATATGCTTATTATTGTTGAAAAAAAGAACCCGAAAAGGTTCAAAATTTATTAGAAAAGTCACTACCAAAAATTATTTGTCTGCCTCCCAAAAGCGGGGAATTAGCAGAATTTGGTTCGTTATTTGAGGAACAAGTCTATAATGAATTAATAAGTCAAAATTATACTCTTGCAAACAGTTTTGAAATTCATAAGCAAGTAAAAAGTATTGGTTATCATATTGACCTAGCCATTTGAGATAATCGAACCCAACAGTATATTTTAGGGATTGAATGTGATGGAGAATATTGGCATGGCAAAACCGAAAATATTGAAAGAGATATTTATCGGCAACAACTTTTAGAAGATAAAGGTTGAAAAATAATTCGAATTTTATCACGTGATTGATGTCGTAATAAGGGAAAAGAAATCGAAAGGATAAAAAAAGAACTCGCTCGGTTAATATAAGTGAACTTCATGATAATCTTGGCTCTGGAAACTAGTTGCGATGAAACCAGTGTCGCAATTTTAGAAAATAAAAAGGTTCTTAGTAATATTACCATTTCTCAAATATTAGAACAACAAAAATATGGTGGAGTAATGCCTAGTTTAGCCGCTAAACTACATATTAAAAATATTCAAAAGGTTCTCTCTAATGCCTTATCCAAAGCCAAAATTTCTCCGGAAAAAATTGATTACATTGCTTATACGGAAAAACCCGGACTAATTATTTGTCTCCAAATTGGCAAAATAGTTGCAGAAACTCTCTCTTTATACCTCAACAAACCACTTATTACCTGCAACCATTTAGAAGGGCATATTTATGCCAGTTTGTTAGAGAATGAAAAAGAATGAGAATTTCCTGCCTTGGCTTTAATTATTAGTGGTGGTCATACTCAACTTTATCAATTAAATAGCCATTTCGATTTTGTTCTTTTGGGTGAGACACTCGATGATGCAATTGGTGAATGTTTAGACAAATCAGCTATTTTATTAGGTTATGATTATCCGGGCGGACCTATCATCGAAAAACTGGCCTTAAAGGGAAAAAATATTTATAAATTACCTTTTCCAAAAAATGATGAAAGTCTAGATTTCAGTTTTAGTGGTTTAAAAAGTGAAATTAGTCGGTTAGTTAGCAAGGAAAGAGAAAACATAAATGCTAATAATTTGGCCTGTTCTTTGCAAGGTATTTTGGCCGAAATATTAACCAAAAAATTAAAAAAAGCCTGATTAATTAGTAAATCCAAGTCAATTATTATTGGGGGCGGAGTAATTGCTAACAAATATTTACGAAATCACCTAACCAAAGAAATAAAAAAATGAGATAAAGAAATAAAAATATTTATCCCGGAAATTAAATATTCGACTGATAATGCCGCCATGATAGGGATTTTGGCTTATTATAAAATAAAATTAAGTTAAACATATGCAAAAAAACTAACTATTGCTAGTACTATTGGTGGTATAATTTTGTTTATTGAAGTCTTTTGGTTAGGAAAAATTTCCGTAGAAAATAGGCCATCAAAGTCAAGGAATAAAAGGAATAATTTACTATCCCAAAAACCAGAGAAGTCAGAGTAAACCTAGGTAACAAATAATGAAGAAAAGACTTTGTTTAGCGTTAACGTTGAAGAAACAAAAATCTTTTGTATTTTTAGTAATTGATTTAGTACCAAGAAAAGAGAGGATGGAAAAGTTGATGAAAAAATGGATAAATGACTTGTTTAAATATTAATGAATTTAGCACAGAATTAGAAGCAAAAGAAGTCTAAAATTATTATAAACAAGTAACTTTTATGGTAGATGCTCAATGATGATTAGATGAAAATTATTCAAACGAACTAATAAAAAAAGAAATTGAAATGTTAACAATCGGAAAATATGTTAACGCGAAACATGATTATTTAGTAGAAGGTCTCTTAAATATAAGTAATTTTACAAAATTGAAGAGTTTGTATTTTTTTGATAATAAAATTACTAAATTAGTGATTGATAATTGTCCCAAAATTAAATTTATTAATTGTTGCGGTAATTTTCTTACTGATTTGGATTTTCTTTCTAACCTTAATTCAGAAAAAATAACTAATATTCATTTGAGAAACAATAACATTTCTGAACGAGATTTAAGTTGTTTTAGTAGGCTTGTAAATTTAACTACTCTTTTGATTGGCAATTCAGTCGAAAGTAAAATTCAAAAAGGTATCTTTAACCGTTTTACTGGTAGTTTAGAGTTTTTAAAAGATTTAACTATGTTAAAAAGATTAGATATTAGAAATACTGACATTGATAGTGGCTTAGAATATTTACCTAATAGTGTCAAAGAATTTCATTGTTCAACCGACGAGAGAAAAGAAAGTAAGGTGAAAGAAATTGAGACAGAGTTGGAACCTTTTCTCATCAGTAAGTTTCAAGAAACTTATAAATTTGGCGATTGAAGAATAAAGAAAGGGATTGCTCTTCCAAGTTTACCAAAGAAAAAACAAGTCCGTAACAAAAACCCAAAAAAAAGAAAACCTTCCCAAAAAAAATTTCAACACCAAGGAAAGTGTGCTTTAAAACGAAGGAATAATTTGAAGATAAACAACTATGAGCAAAAACAAGAAAATTGAAAGGATATTAGTTTAGATTTTGAGAATAACAATCAATTAACTCAAGAATGGCAAGACAAAGGATTTAATTATAATCAAACTAAGGACTGAATAGGCATTGGCTTAAAAGTTTTTGATGCTAATTTCTGTGCCTGGTTGCGGGATATTAAGCAAGTTGCTAGCGAATGATTTTTAAATAATAGTGATGTAGAAGATTTACGAAAGGAATTCCAACAATGAGCGGCTAGCGAATTATCAAAAAAAGGGCAACAGCAATTTCAACAAATAGAAACTAATTTTTACAAAAAATATAATTAAAAAGTGGATATTAATTCCAAACAAGGCACAGTTCTATTATCTATTTTAATACTTGCTTCCCATAATTTTTATCATGTTCATTTTACTGATAATCTTTTGGCAATCAGGATTTAAGCATTTAACTTTTTCTACTATTTTCTGTTGTTGGTTAGTAGGAACTTCACTACTTTTGGCAGACATATTTGCAAGATTTTTTTCTTTTCGTGTCATATGAGTTTGAATTTCATATAGACTAAAAATTAATTATAAAAAGAAACCAATTCGGTATAAAGGAGTGATACTCAAGTGGTTAAGAGGGTTTCCTGCTAAGAAACTAGGTTGGCCTAATAGTCAGCGCGAGAGTTCGAATCTCTCTCACTCCGCCATTATATATATAAAATAAAAAATATGTTGAAAAATGATAAAAGTGAAAGTTATTGAAAAGCAAAATATAAGTTTGGTGATTAAGGATTGAATTAATTAATAATTTATGGGTTCTTATTTATCCCGTTAACCTTTATCCATGGTAAGGGCTAAGCAGAAAATGACTGTTTTTTTTTTTTTTTTTTGCTAAGAGAGCGCTCCTTAACGCTTTTTCTCTCCAGAAAAAAAGAGACAAAAAAGTATTCTAATTGGATTTCTTATTAATTGCCACCGATTAGAATACTATTAAAAAAAGCAATTAGTTCAGTTAGTCAAAACTGATAAAATAATCTGACCAATATAACACAAGAATTCATAAATATTATGGTAAACAATCAAAACGAATTTAACGAAAAATATTCTCACGAAGAGCAAGAAATAAAAATTAAATATAAAGTTTTTCAAGGAGAATTAGTTATTGAGGACTATTCTAAATTAAAAAAATTAAACTTGCGAGACATTAGAAGGATAGACAAAACAACTCTCAAAAATTTACCTCAACTACAAGAATGCACTATCTGAGATTGTGGAGTAAAGGAGTTAGTAATCAGCACTTGTCCAGATATAGAAACATTAAATGTTCGGAAAAATAATTTGACTAGTTTAGAATTTATGGTTAATCTGAGAAATCTAACCGAACTAGATATAGAAGGTAATCCTAAATTAGACGAGATTTTAAAACCTTACGGGGGAGATTGAAGAAAATGAAAAATCCTAACTCATCAAAAAGGCTCTGCATACTATATTCGATCCTCAATAAAAAAAAATGAGGAAAAGGTAGAGAACAAAACTTCTCTAGAGGAAGAATCTAAATTGGAAACTCAGATAGAAATTCCTCCTAAAGACGGAAACTAAGCCTTCACATAGTAGTATTTACTGGGTAAAATTTGGCAAAACAGTCGGCACCGAAATTCGCGACCCTCATCCCGCGGTCATTATTTCTAATAACTGACAAAATGAAAAAGGTTCGCGAGTAGTAGTTTTGCTGATGAGCTCTAAAATAGAGAAAATTTATCCGTTTTATTTATATGTGGGAAAGATAATCAGTAATAAGGTTATTACCGAAAAAGCCGAGATATTACCTCTTGAACTATTAGCCAAAACCGAAATTAAGTTAAAAAAGGTGCTAGTCTTTGAGGATAAAATTAGATATTTTTTGCTGTGAAAGAAATAATCAGGAAAATATGACAATAATCGCCTTATCAAACCTGTAAAGAAATAAAACATTAAAATTATAATAATATGGCAGTTCCCGCTCGAAGAAAATCCTCCACTAGAATTAAAAAAGGTCGTGGACCAAAGAATTGAAGTTTTCAGCAAAAGGCTCTTCATCAACCCTTAATTAAATGTGCTAGTTGTCAAAAAACTAAGATACTTCACCATCTTTGTTCCCATTGTTCGGTTTATCGGACCAATTCCTAATTTCAGTAAACATACAAGATATTATTAGTATTCATAAGGGATAAATAAAGTTAACTGTTATATTATTAATTTTAAAAAGAATAAGTACAGTAGGGATTTTTTTTACTTTTAATTAGTTTTCCTCAGTGCTAAAAAACTAATTAATTATGGTAATCTCGCAAAAAAAAAAAAAAAAAACAGAAAAGATATTAACAGTCTGAAACGAATTAAAAGCCAAAATAATTTCTTTACTAAGTGAATTAGACTCAGTTAAAAGTAATCTCCAAGCAGCCAACCAAAAAATTAACGACCTGCAACAAGAATTGGATAAAGAAAAAGGTTGGTGGGATGAATGGCTTGCTGATGATGTACAATTCATAAATACAACTCTTCGCAGTGGTGGAAAACAACAAGTATATTGCTTTTTGCCAGAAGGAGATATATATGAATTAATTGATAAAAAGGGGACAGTTTGTCAAAATAACTTTAAAAATGATAAGTTTATAGCAGTAATAAAGTTATGATACGAACATCACCGAGATAATTAACTATTGGTTTTTGTAATTTTTAAAAAGGTTCAGTTACTAAGTGATTTTTAATCTAAAACAAGAAAAATAATAAATAATCACTTAGTTTAGTAATTTATGCTTAGTGAAATGTTTTATTTTTAAAGCACTTTTTAAGGTTGGTATAGTTATTAGATAAGGGGAGTTTTTTAGACTCCCCTGTTTTATTTAGACGGGATTTGGATTTGAGCTTCCACCTGCTCATCCACTTGTTGTTGTAAACTTAATTTCACAATTTCTTCACAAAGTTGGCAAATCTCCTGTACTCTGTTAATGCGTAAACTCTCCAAAGGTATTTTGTCTTTTAAAAAGTTTTGCTTAATTTTTTCAATCTTATCTTGGCTTATTTTTATCTTGGTTTGGTCATTATTTTGTTGGGCAAGGATTAATTGTTTATAATTGTCTTGCAAAATTTGAATTACTTTTCGATTGATGTCTTTTATACGACTAAGTATGTTTTCTAATTGTTGTTCTTTTTCTGTCTTTTGTTCTTTTAATTTTAACCTTTCTAAGTAAATTTCTTTTACAAAATTATCATAACGTTGAGCATAAGAAGAATCCTTTTGAAGAAACAAATTCCGAACCGCAGAAATATTTTTAGAATCTGTATCAATAACTATTGATTCTTGCTGCAATAATCACTCAATTATTTTTCAATCTCCTATTTCTCTAATTATTCCTTCGGCTGCACTATGTAAAACGGATCAACTAAATACAATAATATTATTAGTTATTTTAGTATCAATATTAATATCTCCGCCGTACTTGACAAGTAATTTTAATGATTCTAAATCACCTTGCGTGGCTGCATTGTGGAGTGGAGTATCACCATTTTTGGAGAGATTAGGATTAGCACCATTAACTAAAAGTTTTTTGGCTATCTCTCTATATTCAGGATTTTCTTTACTTTTAGTAACGGCTATGTGTAGTGGAGAAAAACCTCCTTTATTTATAATGTTCACCTTTGCTCCTAATTCTAAAAGTTTGTCAATAACTTTAATATTTGCTTCAAGTAATGCATAATGAAGAGCACTATTACCAAAGTCATCACAAGCACTTACTTCCACCTGTTTTTCCTTAATAAGTTCTTCAATAGCCTTGATATCATTTTCTTCTACGGCTCTGAAGAACAACTCTCTTGGAGACGAATTATTATCTTTTCTTGATTTTTCAAGATAAATAGGTAAGTCAAGAGTTGAAAAACTAATCGTATTAGTTCGCAGACCACTTGCAACTTTACGTAACACTATCTTATCCTTATCTATTTCGCTTAAGCATACATTGACTCCTGTAAAATGATTGCCCACTTTATAACCAGCATCACACATTACCAGTTGCCCATCTACGGAATTTCCTGCTGCACCATATACAAAAAATATGCCACCTGTTGGTATTATTCCCACTGATATTCCGTTGCCGTTCGCATATCTTACTATTTCTTTTTCCCGTTGCTTGACAAGTTTCTCCAAAGTTTCTTGAATTCCTATTCTCTTATAACCACCTTCAGTAAACATTGCATATTCTAGACATAAATCCTTAGGCATGTTAGTCTTCTTATGAAGATAGTTGGCCAATTGCTCGCTTGTTTTGAATCTTGGTGGGGAAATTGAGTGCATAATTGATCTATATATAGTCGTAGATGTTACCCTAAAAGCACCAGTTCTTAACATTTCTTTAAGTTCAGAACATAATCAGTCAACATAACTCTTAGGCAATTTGTCTACTTCTTCTATTATTCCTAATGATTCGGCTAACTCAAGTATAGTGATAACTTTATTTTCTATTAACTGCAATAATTCATCCCACACTTCTCTCTCGGCATATTTTGAACCCTTCCTAGCAAAACCAAAAGTGCAAGGTATTGGAATTATATTACTTATTAGAGATGCCTTTGCATTATTGTTCACCAAACCTTTGCCGTCTATATATTTTCATCCAGCATCTTTTGGAGAAGCTCCAATTAAGGGTATGCAATTAGAATTTCAGATATTAGGCATGCTATAATTACCATCTCATGTCATACTCCTGCCACAAAACGCCGTTGTTGTTATGTCTCCGTTTCTTATCAATGAACGAAAGAATTCTTCAGTTACAACAAACTTATCTTTACTATAATTAATTTCTATGTTAGTTTGCGGAAAAAGCCCAAGCAAACCATATATTCTATCATGTTCGAGTGCAGAACTTCTTCCTGTCAATGCCACATGTACCTCGCTCCAATTTAATTTAGCATTGGAGTGCTTAATACGTAATCGCATTGTTGTTAGTGCTAATTCACTAGTCTGAACATGTTCGAAATTTAATAGAGTTGTCAAAAAACTTTTTTTTGAACCTTCAGTCAATTCCTTTAAAATTCCTGAAATTTGATCTACATCAATAAATCCATATTTATCCACATAAATTTTAACTTCTTTTGGCAAAATTAATTCTTGCAATGTCCAAACCCTTTTATATCAGGGACTAGAAACTATCAATTTATTGACTTCTAAGGCAACTAAATCAGGTAAAGTTGTTTCCGAGTACATTACATTGGTCATGTAACTTAGATCTATAGTGCTATAAATTAACTTCTTAGGAAAATTTCATTTCCAGCCTTTTTGCATCAATTGTTTCAATGAATTAGACAATTTTTCCTCATAAACATAACACTTACTAGCATTACTATAATAGCCACCAACATGCGGAATTAAATCTTCTATTCTCATCCCCATATCGCTTTTTCCTAATTGAGGTAAGCAAGCTATATCTAATCATACTCATTCTTCGGAAATCAATTCGAACATTTTCCATAATCGTTCTTCTTTTCCTTCATCACATAAAGGAAGTTCTCAGTCAATTCCTTTAAGATATTTAGGGGCATAATTTTGCGTTTTACCCCAAACGTAAGAAATTATGGCATAATCTTTTGCACTCGCTAAACATTTGTCACATAAAGCTTGCGTGTATACAACTAATCCATCTTTTTTTCTTATCATTCGATGGGGGAAATCTCTAGGTTGACCGATGATATCTTTTCTTATATTTTTTTTGTGACCACAACCTTCTGTGTTGCATTCAAGTTCCTTATTTTTTGAATCAGAGTTGGTTGAGTAATCATTTTTTACTTTTTTATCTCGCATTTTTCCTAATAAGATCATTTTGTCCCTATACAAATCCTGCAATTCGCTATTAGTTATTTCCAGTTGGTAATTTTTGTTAAAATCACCTTTTCTAATTTCTCGCAATAAATTTAATACTTCCGTCGTTTTTTGGATTATTTTATGATCTATCGATTCGACAACTGAATTAACTCTATTTTCCAACTCAGTAGTATGACTTATCTTTCGAAAATTATCCTGTTTTACCAAGGCAATTCTTTTTTCTTTTTGATATTCTTGTTGTTTTTTCAGTAAAAAACTATCTCTTTCGTTTAATGATCTAGGTTGTTCAAAGAAATATTCGTCAGTACTCATGTAATTTTCTCCTTTATTATTAATTAATCAAACAACGTAATCTGATTCATTAGCTCTTACTCCAGTGTCAAGCCATTTTCTAGTTTGATTAAAATTAAAACCCTTGATTGTTCATTCACTTACCAAATTAGGGTTATCCTCAAATTCTGAGGAAAGTGTTCCTCAATCTTCTTCTTGGTCACAAAGGATTTTAAATACTTCTGGTTTTAATTCAATTTCACTATTATCATAGTTTAATGATTCAAGTCATAATAAAGAATCTATACTGTAACGCGAGTTGAGTGTATCTATCATATTTTCTGCTAATTCTTCTGCTCGTTTGGCCTTTTCGCCTCTTTCGTGTTCATCTTTAATGGAGTCTTTCATTAAAATAGTTCCGAGAAGAAAATCATGAATTATCATTGGTCTTAGCATTTCAATGCCGACTTCAGGATTTTTGTTTGTATTTGGTTCATCCAATGTTTCCTGATAAAGATTATTAAAATTCATTTGAACGGATTGAGCATCAAGTTCCCTGCTCTTTAAATAGTCGGCAAAATCAGCATCTTCGGGAGTCAATCCGATATCAATTCACTCTTTTGTTTGATCGCAATTAAAACCTTTAGTTTCTCACTCCTTTTGTAATTTTGAAGTGAAGTCTGAATGAATGGTTTTTCATTTTTTGTTAACCTCCGAGTCTCCGTCGCCTTCTAGCGACAATTCACCCATTTTTGATGTTATTCTACCTTCGCTACTTGAATTTTTATGTATTTCTAAAAATGTCTGCCATTGCTCTCTCAATAAACTATCGTCATTATCTTCACCTAAATACTCTGCATATTCATCAGGAGTTATCTTTGAAATATCTCTCATCCAAGCAGCATAGCCACCATCTGGCAATTCTAGACCAACACTAGTTCATTTTCCAATTTCTTCATCAGAAAATCTTTTATCTTGTCATCTTGAAATTAAGTATTCTTGATACTCTTTTTCTAATTGTTCATTATTACCATGATTTAATAATCACTCAGCATTAACTTTTTTAATATCTCTTAATCATTTGGCATAAGCAAAATCATTAGAATTCAAACTAGAATTTATTCACTCTTTCGTTTCTTCATAAGTAAATCCTTTATTTTCTCATTTTTCTTGTAATTCTTTCGTGAAATTTATGTCTATATTTTTCCAGTTTTTCATATTATTTCTTTATTCTCTGACGATTTCTCGCCAGAATAAAGATTAAAAGTAAAGTAAATAAGCCAATTATCCCTAAACCAATATAAAGAGCAGTTTTATCACTTGGTTTAGCATTATTAGTATTAGAATTACTTTGTTTGGCTAATAATTCCGCTAATTCTTGCTTTTTACTAGTTAAAAGTGCTTCTTCCGTTGCTGTTCTAGTAGGTTTATTAGTCAGTTCTTTAATTTCCCTTTCTAAAATAGCAATCTGAGTAGTTATTGGTAAAGATTGCGTTAGTTCTTTTTGTTTATTCTCTAGTTCAGTTAATTGCTGTTTTTTAGCCGCTAATTCGGCTTGGTTTTGCGGGTTAGTAGCATTTTGTTCTAGTTGCATGATTTCAGTAAGTAATTGTGCTTGTTGAGACTGAATTTGCTCTCTCTCTCTCTCTCTCTCTCTCTCTCTCTCTGTATTATTAGTGTTAGGATTACTTATATTGGTATTAATAATAATACCTTCTTCCTTAGCAAATTCACAGCAGTAGTCCTCAATATAACCACTCATCTCTTGAAAAACCAAAAACTCATCTTTTATGTTTTCAAAAAAATTTCCTCTTCATAAACTTTGCCAATTATCATAGTAATCTTTTTTTTTGAGAAATTTAGTAAACTTTCACCGCTTTAATCCTTCCTTATCTAGCCACTCTTCTACTTTTTTGCAATATCATTTTTGAAAAGCCTTAGTAAAACTAGAATTCTTATCTTCTCCACAGTCCAAGCAGTAAGCACTTTCGGTCTCATCTCTTTGAAAAAGTTCTCTTCAGTGAATGTTTGAGTGTTGACAATCTTTACTTACTACCTGACCCCTATTTTCATCTATCCATTTTGCTTTAATCACTACTTGGCAAGGAACATTATTTTCTAGTTCTTCTAATGGTTTCTTTAAAAATATTTCAATAGATGTTTTAAGAAGTTCGCTTTCAATTTTCTCTTTAAGCAAAATATTTACCTTTTCTTGCAGTTTTTTAATTTTTTTGTATTCCTTAAACGTTATATCATTAGTGTCTATTTGCTCTAATTCTTTTAGGTATTTACTATACTTATCAGTTTGCTCTCTATCTTTTTTGTCTTCTTTTTCTAAATCATTAATTTCTTTACATTCTGCACAACTACCATCCACAAGAACATTACATCATTTGCACCATTTGTATACATAACAAGCTTCAGTTCCACAAGTATCACCCATTCCACAGTGGGGACATTTTATATAAGTTGTTGAAGTTATCGAATCATTTCCGGTATAAGTTTGATATGATACTTTTTTACCTCCACAATGACATTCTTGACAAAGTAATTCACCAGATTTTTCACGATAAGAAGCTTTTTTGTCGCATTTACAGCAAGTCAGTTTTTTGTCCATGATTTTACTATATTGTAATTTTACAAAAACCAACTACTGTGCAGCTGAATATTTTGTAAAAAAAATTCTTAGAGAGTTAGAAAAATTATTCCATCAATTTGTCAGGAACGCTGTTTAATCATAAATTTTGTAGATTTATTTTTACTTATCTTCTTTCAGCAATTTATACATGACATAACAAGCTCCTGCCATCATAATATTTTCTAAAGTTAAGAATTCTCAAATTCAATGCTTTTCATCAGTATTTGAACCGATATTCGAGATTGTTTCGTTATTCTTTTTCCTTTGTTCATCATTTCTTTTCCTCTCATCACGATAAGATTTATTTTGTCCTTTTAAGTCATCTAGTTGAGTTTGAAGAAAACCTAGTTTACCGCGTAATTCTTCCTCTCTTTTTTTGGAAATATTAGGGTCATCTAACTCTTTTTTTATATCGCTTATTTCTTTTTCAATTTGTTTTTCTTTTTCTTCTCCTTGTCTTAATTTGTCATCTAGTTCTTTATTTCTGGCATTTAATATTTCGTTTTCTTTTCTTGCTTCGTCCATTGATTTGCCTTTCAAAGCATACTTTTCTCTTTTGGTTTTTTGACCATGTTTGTAAGCATCATGGCCTTTTTTGCAGACATAACCGGCACCGAATACAGTTACGCACCAACAAACAGCTTTTATTCCTAAGGGTATTAATAGTGGTGCTGGCATAATTATTTGATATTTTTATTTTCTAATTTCTTTAATTCAGTTACTTGCTGAACTAAGTTAGAAATAGTTTTTTCGTATTTGGTTATTTCTTGTTTATAATTGGTTAACATATTTTGGATTTCTTGAATTTTGGTTTCTATTTTGATTATTTGTTGGTTATTCATGTGATTATTTACTTTTCATGTTTCCTCCTATCTCTGATAAGAGACCGGTTATCTGTTCAACCGCATTGTTAAAATTTTCATTGAAAACATTATTGGCTACCTGCACTTCCTCTTTTATTGTGGCAATAGTTTCATCAAGTGTTTTTAAGCGAGTATCTAAGGCTTTACTGATATGATTACTGGCTTGGATTACTACATCTTGAATCTTGGGTTCCCGCGGATCAGTAAATTTACCATCAAAATCCGTATCTCATAATTCTCCGCTATCAAATTTTTGTCAAAAGAATTGTAAAAGTTCTCCTAATTGGATACCTTTTTGTTTTATTGTTTCTTCTCCTTTTTCATCGGTTTCTTTTTCCTCATTGAGAATTTTCTTATTGTCCTCGTTGTTAATAAACTTATCTCAAAATGATACTGCATTATCAACGCTTTCGCCGGTAATTTTTCGACCTAAAAAACTTTCTTCAAAATGAATTATATTAAATCTATTCACTCACTTATTATCCTCTTCGCTTAAAGAATCACTATCTATTCAATGTTGCGGAAATTGACCAATAATCCCAGCATTAGAGGAGTATTCCTTAAATTTTCCCAAAGTCCAACTAAAACAGAGACGATTAGCCAAACGACCGGGCTGATAAACTGCTTCATCAATCTCACTTAAATGGTTAGTGGCAATAATTCATAAATTATGACTTTCATTTTTCTTCCAATTATCACTACCCATACACTCTTTGAGAAAAGTTAATCCAGATGATTTTGTTACAAAAGTGTTTTCACTAACTTGATTGGCTTCATCAATAAAAAAAATGTAACGAGGTTCGCCACTTTCATAATTCCTTTCAAAATCAAAATCATCTACTAATGTATTATTAATATCACAGATGGTATAAATGAATTTCTTAAAGTTATTAATACCACATTTTTGATCATTAATGGTGGGAGTAAGAGCGGAACCTTGAATTACTACCAAAGGATACGAGTCTGCTTTATAGGCCAATTTTTCCACTATAATTGACTTACCAGTTCGCGGTGCTCCATAAAGAGTAGCGTTATTATCGGTGTTGCTTTTATCTCTTTCTCCTCTGACTGGATCAATAAGTGCTTTGTCATATCAGTTATCAATTTTCGGATTAAAGGTATAACTGTCAACTTCATCTCTTAATTTAAGTTCTTCGGCTCTTTCATGCACCTTTTGTTCCTCGGTTAGTTCACTCCAAAGAGAAGGAGGAAAATTAATCTTATAAGAAGCGGCGAAATTACATTTATTTGGTTCTTTCTCTGGTTCATTATGGGGATTTACTAATCCATTCAACTGATTTCAAGCTTGGTCAAAATCTTGTTTAAGGATTTCTAACTTTTTCTCAGCCCAGTTTTTTGGTTCTCTTAATCAGTGTAATTTTTGTCTTTTGTTTTTTTGTTCGGCAGTGACTTTGTTAGCCTCATCAACAATGGAAGATATGTCATTTTCAGAAGCGTTGTTAATTCTTTTGTAAAATTTTTTGACATCTTTTTCAAAGGAGGGTGTTTTTTTTATTTCCATTTCTGCAAACTTTTTTATACTGTTAATAGCATTCTCCCGAGCTTCTTTTAAATTTTTTGCTTTCCCGGCTTCTATCTCTTTTTTCCTAGTCTCAATTGCTTCTCTAATATTTTCACTAAATTTACTAATCTGAGTAGGTAAATATAACTTGTCTAAGCGTTCTTGTCAAGATTTAAATCCTTTTCATAAACTAGCATCTAAATCAGCGACAGCAACAGGTGAATTTTCTCTAAATATTTCCTCAATCTCTTTTCTAGCCTCATTTCTTTGCTCAGGTAAGAAAAAAAAGAGATAGTAACCCATTCCTATTAAGAGCATAATAACTAAATACTGTAACTGCTCTTTGCTTTTTTCTTCTTTTTCTTGGTGAGATGGAAATAGATTCATAATTTATTCTCGTAATCTTCTTAAAAATTCGGCTCTTTTGAGAATTCTTTCTTCCGCAATGGTTTCTATTCTTTTACGTTCAGCATCTGTAAGTTCCCTTGGTTCAGGATGCTCTTTTTTAGTTAGATAGTAAATAGAGACTATAAGCAAAGTAGTTAAAGCAATCAGTAATAAGCCTCTTTGTCATGGTTCTAAGTGTTGTTCGAATTGTTCAGTGGCCTTGCCTAATTGGTCTTTTAGTTTTTGGGGATTGGTCATAATTAGAAATCGTAATAATTTGGTTCTTTTGATTCTTTTTGAGATTGCGAATAGAAGTAAAAAACAACCAACAGAGCAACACTACCAAAGATAATTAGTCGTTGATTGCCTTGAAGCGGATTTTCTTTTTTATCATTTTTTCTAGAATCTGGATCTGAGCCATCGCCTCCTGTATTATTGGAACCGTTGTCATCTTCATCATCCCCATCGTTATCATTTTTTTTATTTCTGTTTCTTCCACTACCACTTCCTCCTGAACCACTTCCTCTATTATTTTCAATTGCTTGCTTTATTGATTCTATTAAATCATCAATTCTCTTGTTGGGGTCAAAATTAAACTTGTTAGAGAGTTCCTGTTGCTTTTTCACATTTGCTTTTAACTTTTTACCATCATCCTCAATTAGTTGCAAAAGAAGTGCTTTTTGGGCTGGATCTTTTTCGTTCATAGCCTTTTTCTTATTTTCTTCCATCTTCTTCTTAATTTCTGCCTCCTCTAATTTAAGTTGCTTTAACTCTTGAACTCACTTATAATCTTCTCTTTCTAAATCACCTTTCAATTTGGTTAAATCATTCGAAAAGTTCTTCAACTTTGAAATGACATGCTTATCCATACCTTCGTCGGATCAAATACAACAAACACCAAACATAGAACTAGAAGCACTCTTTTCTTGCAAACCTCTTAAAGACTCTTCGCATTTTCTAATATAGTTGCCTTTTTTAGCATCATACTCGCTTTTATTAGTGCATTTTTTTAATTCTTCTTTGATTTCTCTTAAACTTTCTAATTTGTTAAAAGAGCCGGTTAGCGTTTGGCAATCTTCTTTTAAACTGTGGTTACCGCCTCAATTACATCTGCCGCCAGTTCAGTAGCTCGCGTCATTAGCGTATTTTTTTCTGCCTCTGCGAGATCCACCGAGGTTTCTAAATTGTCTTTCTAATTGTTCTGCTGTATATGTCATATTTTCTAAAGCTATTTCTTTGGTTTAATGTAAGTAATCATTCCAGTCACTATTAAACCGCCTATTACTACTGCTTTTTCATGCCAGGGGGCTGCTTTTCACTCGTGATTAGCTCAGGGGGGAGTCGGTTCTTGGAGTAATTTAAGTGCTGGTGGTAAACCAGTAAGAGTTAAGGCACTAATTTTACTTCAATATCGCACTGCTTGTTTTTTTAATTCGCAATAATTATTCATAATTCTTAAATCTCCCCCTTTTTATAAAGGGCTATTAGTTTATTCAGTTGCTGATCGGCCAACAAATTTCTGATTTGTTCTAACTTCTTTTCTAATCTGGTAAACTCATTTAGTCTAACCTTTAATTGTTCTTGGTATTGGCTAGTTTCAATTCGTAATTGTTCTTCTAACCGCTCAGCTTTCCGAATGGCTCAACTTTCATCCGATTCTTGCGAAACATGAATCTTTTGGATAGCACTATTAGAGGCATAGACTTCTTTAAAACCATGGGTTTTGATATCTTTTAGTTCGTTAATAGCAATCATTAGTTTTGGTTTGAGAGTAGTTCAAACTGTTATTAATTCTTCTGTTTTTTTTTTTTTTTGCTATTTTCAGTCATATTAATCTACTTCTTCAATGGTGAAACCAGTTAGTTCCAGTTCACGTAAGCGGTCAAGATTGACGCCAATTATTTCTATCATCTTGGCTATTTCTGCATCATCAGTTCTAATTTGCCAGTATTCGCGGAGTTCTTCATTATTCAAATCATATCCTGTTTTAGCACATAGGCTCAGCAGAACTTCTCTTAAATGACTTTGCTGTTGCTGTCGGGCGGAAGAAAATTTACTGAATATTTTTTCTCTTAATTCGATTCAGGCTACCATTACTTGTTCTTGCAACATCCTAATTTAATTGTTGGCTTAATTCTTGAAACTCTTTAATTAACTGTTCCAACACTTTCTCATTTTCTGAGTTTTCTTTAAGAGTAGTTTCTAACTTGCGATTGCTTTCTTGAAGTTTGTGATTGGTTTCGCTGATAGTTTGCTGGTTGGCTGCTAATTTAGTAGTGATTTTATTTTTTAAAGTGGTGAATTCTTTGTGGAGGAGTTCTAATTTATTTTTCAGCATTATTTCTTAGTGAGGGCGTTAATTTTTTTGGTTAACTCTTGACAGTAATTAGTTAGTCCGGCTTTAGTTTCTCAACTTTCTCAGGGTAGTTTACCAGCTAATTTTTGACTGGCAATGGTTAGTGCCGATTGTAATTCAGTTAGTGAGGGATTAGCTAATTCTTGATTGAGGGCTTGGATATCTTTGATGAGGGTGTCTAAGGTGGATTCTAGTTCTGGTTCGGGACAGTTCAGAGCATCCGGTTCAACCGTAGTAGTTTGGGTAGCTTGTTGGTGGGTAAAGGGTTTGGGTGGTGGGTTGGGACTAATACTTTTTTGCTGGGGTAGATAGATAAAAAAGTAGTAGAGCAGAGCAATTATTAGGGCGTAAAAAAGGAGGTCATTCATGTTGTTTTTATCGTTGTTTAAAAGCAACCCAGAAGTTGTAAATAACTTTCAGGTCAAGATTATTTAAACTTTCATCTCACTTTTTAGAAAAGTAAGCAAAAAGGATTAATTATTTTTGGTCAGTATTTTTACTTAATAATCAAGCGGAGCCGCAATAGAGCAGAGCAACTAAGATAACTGGTCAATAATCAGTGCAAAAACTAGGATTAGTTTCCGGTGCTTGATTATTGAGTAACTTTAATTCTAACTTAGTGTTTTTGGTTTGGGTTTGATTTAATTGCTGTTGTAATTCTAGCTTTTTTTTATTAGTGGCTAAGAGTTGGTTTTCTAAGCGGTTGATTTCGTTTATTCCTTCGCTAATATTTTCTTCTAATTCGGTTTCTAAAACTTTTTTTTGTTCGTAATAATCGCCAAAGTCTTTAATTTTATCTAATCTTAATTGTAAGATTTGCTCTTCTAATTGGCTAATTTGCGTTTTTAATTCGGCCGGGTTTTCTTCCGGGGCATCAATAAAAGTTTCGTGAGACTTTAATTCGGCTTCTAATTCAGTGATTTTGGCTTGGGCAACTTGGAGACTGGCTAAATAATTCTGAGCAGTATTTTGGGTAAAAGTGAGGGTTTGTTTTAGTTGGCTGATTTGTTGTTCGGGAGTAGGTTGTTGAGTTGGAATATCTAACTGAGATTTACTTTTTTGTAAAGGAGTGTTAGGCAAAGGGGGAGCCACTGGAATATCACTCAGACTTTTACTTTTTCGTAAATGGCTAGGTTTAATGCCCGGTTTGACTTTCTTTTTTAACTCGGCTTGCAATTGGTCTTTAGTCATTATTTTTTATTCTTCTTCTTTAACTGCCGGTGCTGTTTATGAGAAAGGATGGGTTTTTCGGCTGGGGGAATGAGATTACCTAAGTTATCGCTCAGTTCTTTTTCCGTGGGAACTTTTTGGCTAGTTAGTTCGGTTTGGTCAGGACTGCCAGTGGACTGAGTGTTTACTTGTTTTTTTCAGTAATAATAAGTTAAAACCAGCATGATGATGACCATGATAATAGTTGACTTATTCATTATCCGAATTTACTTCTCAATCTTGGGCATCTCACCAGGTTTCTGATTTAGCTTTGCCTTTGCGTTCAATTATTTCATCGGGTTTAGGAAGAGTTTTGTTTTGCTGGTGCTTTCAGTAAAGATAGAGAGCCAGCAAGATAGCAGCTAGGATTAAGTATTTAGTCATTTTTATTTTTTAACTGGTTAAGTTCTTTTTTTAGTTCATCAATCTGCTTTTGCTCCTTGCCATTCTTTTTCTCTAATTTAGCCGTGCGTCAGTCTAGTTTGAGGGAGTAGTTAAAAAACATGGCTAACATAGCGAGGATTACACCACAAAGGGCTAAACAGAGATAAAATCAGTTGGTGCAGTCCATTTAAGCACTCTCAATAATTTTCCCTAAACTGAGACCAATTTGTTTTCAGTTGGCAATGATCTTCTTTTTTTCGGTTTGGCGGACTTTTTGTTTAGTTAGCGATAGTTGCTGGGCATTCTGCTTGCAGTGCGAAGTTAGTTGGGTGATTTTAGTGCCTTTAGGGATGCCTTGTTTAGTTTGTTCGGCACAGCAGCAGTAGTAATCGTGGGGGGATTTAGTTAGTTTGGGTTTAGCGGGCAGATTAGTTTTTTTAGTTTTACTTGGTCGCAGCATTACGGCTTGCTTTTTAGTTTTTTCTATTTGGGGCATAATTTTTTAATGGTTTTCTTTTAAACGAGTTAAAACAGTGAAATCAAAAGCGGGATAATCACTTAATCAGTCGGCTAAGCTTTTCACGACGAGATTAAAATAGCAAACGGTTACTTCCTGAGCAACATATTCGACATCTTCTTCGGTTCAGTTGTCAGTGGTTATTTTGGTTTGATATTCTTCATTATCCGCATAACTTTGGGGTAAATCATCTCTTAATAAAACGCGATAGTCAGCATCTTTTTCGCAGTCAAAGTTTTGCGGAGTAGCTTCAATTGGTAAGACTTTTTCGATTAAGTTGGCGATTAAGTCTTTAGATTTTTTTTCGACTTGTTTTCAAAATTGTTCTTCCGGAGTTAGTTTAAGCTTGTTAGCATTTTTATTCATAGTTTTTTTGGTTAAAGCACAAAGTTTGCAGGGGCGGAGTTTAGTGTGGGGGAATTGGATTATTCCACTGCCATCACATTCGGAGCAATTGCTGGGACTGAGGTAGCGATTATTGTTTATCGCACAATTAGGGCAGTAATCATAATTGCGATAAGTGATAAAGGTGTCACCGCAACCCAGACAGGCTTTGGTTTTTCTGGTCAGCATGGACTAGCTAGTTTGATTTTTTTGGTAGAAGTAATAGATGGCTATTGCCACTAAAACTACCGCCAGAATAGTTCATTTGTGTTCTGTGATTTTTTGTAACATAATTTTTAGTCTTGTTTTTGATAAAGCTTTCAAGCATAAGTAGCGACCACATAAGTGACAATGCCAATCGCTAAATACTTGAAGCGATAACTCATAGTTAATTCGTGATTCATATTGTTTTTTAGATTTGGTTTTGCTTTGATTTAGTTAGTAGTTGGTGAGATTAAAGGGCAGGGTGGGTTTAGTGTCAAAAATAAGCAATCAGCAATAAAAAGAATATTCCTAAGGCAATAGCGACGAGAGCTCGTTGGGTTTTTTGACCATAAGCAATATTGGCTTGGAGCAGTTGCTTGAATTCGGCGGTTTTAGTTTCAATAGTTCCTTTTAAACTTTCTTCATAAAAACCGGTTAAGGCTCCTTTAAAATCGGGGAGATAGTCTTTAATTCCCATAATCTATAAACTTTCTTGAGATTTGATATAGTGATAAACAAATATTCCCACGAGAGCGGTGGCAATTAGGGTGTAAATGATTAATTGGGTCGTTTGATTATCAGAATTAAGCGGTTGAATTACTGCTAAACTAGTGCTTAAATCTTGGACGACACTAGTTAGTTTGCTTAGTTGCTGCTGGTTCGACTGAGTTAGCTGATTCACCATGATTGTTTAGTTGTTCAGTTTTGGCTTGTCTTTGTTGAAATTTAGTGATGGGGTCGGGGTCATTAGTTACTTTTACTTCAGTGGCAACTTCTCGTTCTCACGGCTTAAATCGTCAATAAACTTCGTTATTTTTATCGGTCAGGGGGTAAGAGATAAATTTTTGGATGCCGATGCGCAGATAATAAGTGGTTATGCCATCTTTAACTTCTTTTCACAAAATTATTCGAGTCTTATTGGGATTGATAAAATGACAGGAGCAGTTGCTTTTGGTTAAAATTTGTTCCAGGTCGTGGAGATTAAGAGCTAATTCGCAGTTCATAAGGGTCAGGGTTGATTAAGAGAGGAGTAGTTTAATTTACTCCTCTTTTTTAGTAAATATTTTTTGGGATAATTTTTGGACGATGCCAGTTTGGTCGACAAAATAAGCTATGCTTATTCCTAAGACTAAGTAAGTGGGTCATCAGTCGACATAAGATTTTCAGTTGTTATTTTCGTTATTGTTCATAGTTTTGTTAAGCGATTAATTTTTTACCAACTACGTAAATAGTTCCGGCAACAGCCAAGGAGGTAGTAATTCCCACAACGACAAAAACAAATCCAGTGGTCAGATCTTCCCGGTAGAGAATATCTTGACGGCGGACACTTAACAGGCTTGGTTCGTGGGTTTTAATAAAGGGTTTTGGGGCTAAGTTTTCAATATTAGGCATAGTTATTTTTTTTCTAGTAATTCTTTAATTTCAGTTAATAACTGATTAGTTTTCAGTTGATTCTGATTAAATTCTTTGATTTGATTGATTAAAGGGGTTAGGTCAGGGAGGAAGGACATAAGATTAGTAGTTTTCTTCGGTATTTTCTAATTTGGTTGGGGTATATTCAATTTCTTTACGTTCTTTGGTATGGGTTAAACGGAGCGATTGGAATTGTTGAGTGAGATTGGTTAAATGATTATTGGCGTTGGTTTCTAAAGCAATTAGTCGTTGACTGAGAGTTTGTTGATTATTCGCGATTACTTGCAAATTAGTTTGAATCTGAAGTAAAGCACTTTGCATTTCGGCCATGGTGCCAGTCATAGCGGGTACTTTTTGGCCGGTAAATTGTTCAAAAGCAAAGGGAGCTAACGGGAGTAATTGACCGATAATGGTCAGGAGACTGGATTTTTGTTTTTGCTCGGTTGGGGTTGGATTGTTTTGGTCAGCAAAACCGCAATTGTCAGTTGACTTAGTGTCGGCTGACTGATTATTATTTTTTGGGTTGGTTTCTTCAAATAGGGGCATAGAGGGATTAATTATTTAGCAATTTGCACTAAGGTATTTAAACCAAAGGCCAGACCGCCCAAAATGGGCAGATACTCGGTAAACTGATTAGCGTTTAATTGTTGGCGATAGTAGTAAGCAATTAGACAAAGCAAGGCAACAATTAGGAACAGATATTCTTTTTTTCAGTAGTGAGTGAGATTATTCATATTTATTGGTTAGTCATTAATTGCAACATTCCGCTAAAACCTAAGCAACAGTAGCCGAGTGGTCGCAGGAATTTAGTATCGGGGAGATTTTGTCCGGAACCAAAAAAGTAAAGAGCTAAGCAGAGCGCCGCCATAATCAGTAATAAGTAGCGTTTATTCCACTGGGGCATCTTATTTTAGTCGGTACTTTTTAATGATTTGCTCATTGAGAGCTTGCTTTAACTTAGTAAACGGTTTAAAATTTAAGCGGCAGTAAACATAATTTTGACCATCTCAACCACAGCGTTGTTTTTGCTCTTTTTTGGTGAATTTACCTAAACGACCTAATTTAATACTTTGGCTATCTTTAATGGCTAGGAGCGAATTAATTAAATCTTCTTGGACTAATTGGTAAGCAGTTTTTAAATCGGCTGGGGTGTAGTGATTAGTTGATTTTGGCATTTAGAGGATAATAATGGGTTGGGGTTTAGTTTTTTTAGTTTTTGGTTGAATGGGATAATCAATAATTAGCGAGTTGGGAATATTCATCATTTAACTACATTTTGTCGAGTAGTTCTAAAGGGGAATTGGGAATTCTGGGTAAAAGTGGAGCAGGCACTGAGTGCTGAGGGTTAAAAGTGGTCTAGTGGTAGCGATTGAAAAATTAAAAATATGGAGTTAAAAGTAGCTAATTTTTGAATCGAACTAAAAGAGACTCAAAGCGGGCATCAGATCTTAAGTTGTCAAATCGCGGGTAAACATTGACGAGGCTTTTTAGAAACGAGAGAGGGTAAGCGGGAGAATGGCGAAACTTACACTTATAAAAGTGCTCAGATGCGACCGTGTACGTGGGAGAATTGTAAAATATGTAAGCCAGAATTAGAGATAATTGTTTAGAGGTTATTTTTTTAAAACTTTTTTCTCTTTTTAGTTAGTTTTTTTTGGTTGATAACTTCTAAGCACTC